TTGGCATTGTCATTCACTAGCCTTTAAGCAAGTCCCTTAACCTTGCTGAGCCTCAGTTTTCTGGTCTGTAAAACGGGGATGACAACGGTATCTATCTTGTTGGTTGCTATTGGAGTTAAATGAGATCGCGAAAGTGAGATGTCCAGCACAGTGCCCAGGTAGGCTCAATAAGTGTGGAGTATTAGAATCACAGCCTCATGCCCTGGGACTTTTGAGTGAGAACTAGAGCCTTGAAGTTCTAAGTTGGGAAGGGGCCCCATTGGAGGTCATCTGGATAACAGGAAGACTTGATGCAGCAGGGCACTTGCCCAGAGTGCCACGCCACCTAGTGGCTGGTGTGTGGGACCATGCCGAGCTTTCCTGCCACCTTGCAGCTGAGGTCAACCACCCAGCTTGCTGTAGCTTCCTTCCACTCTGCCTCCTGCCCAGTGGCAGCCTCTTCCTTGCCCCACTGTCCTGGGAGCCTAACTAGCTTGGCATCCACCCTGGCACTCCCCTCCAGGTTTATAATAAAATAGGTGACTCAGATCAGCTTTCCTAGCAGGGAGACCATGTGGCACAGAGGCAAGAGACAGGGAGAAGCTTGGAGAAAATAGCTCTTTCAATGACTACCAATTACAGTCTGATATTCTCAAGGGGTCACTTGCTCCTCAAACTAGGGAAAGGACCTTTATTACTTCCTTTCCTGATCCTTCATCACTCATTCATTTCAGTGAATGAATTCCAATACACTCATGAATTCATTGACTTATTCAATATTGAAATGTTTTCCAAATACCATGTGCTCAGGTTCAGGGATGATCACCAGGGATTGATGTGAATATTTTCTATAAAAGGTCAGCTAGTAAATATTTTCAGTTTTTTGAGTCAATCTCTTCAGCTTTTCTAGCAAGAAAATAGTTGTCGGTAATATGCAAACAAGAGGTAGGTGTGGCTGTGTTCCAGTAAACATTTTTTTTTGTAGACATTGAACTTTGAATTTTATATAATTTTCAATGGTCATAAAGTATTCTTTTTTTTAAAGGAAGGGATAGTGTCTTTTATTTTTTCCACATTTTTATTGGTGCATTACAATTGTATTGATGGGAATTGTTACATATTTGTACATGTACACAATATGATAATATAACTTGGCCAGTATCACTCCTCAGTACTTTCCCCTCCCTCCCAATCTCCCATTTCTTGCCCATTTTGCTCTACTGATCTACCTTTGATTTTTTAGGAGATCCTCCCTCACCTTTCTTTTCCTTTTACCTCTCTAGATTCTTCATATAAAGAAAACACACAACCCTTCACCTTCTGAGTTTGACTTATTTTGCCTACCGTCATGGTATCTAGTTCCATCCATTTCCCTGCAAATGCCATGATTTCATTTTTCTTTATGGATGAATAAAATTTCATTGTGTATACCACATTTTCTTTATTCATTCCTCCTTTGATGTACACCTAGCATGGTTTCATGGTTTGGCTATTGCAAATTGTGCTGCTGTCAATATGAGTATACATATTTCCAAGTAGTAAGATGACTTTAATTTTTCAGGATAAATACAAAGGAATGGTATTGCTGGGTCATAAAGTGGTTCCATGCCTAGTCTTTTGTCTTAAAGTATTTTTTTTAATTTTTTTCCAACCATTTACAAATGTAAAGACTATTGTTAGCTGACATGCTAAAGAAAACAGGCAACAGCAAATGGGCCATAGTTTGCCACTCTAAGCTGCAGCATCCTCTGCACATAAGACCAGGTGTGGGCTGCACCCAGTTTGTGCCAATACAGAGTCCAGGCCTCTGGAGCATCCCAGGGAGGAGGGAGTTGATGTCCTTAAGCCCATCACAGCTTAACCATTGCAGCCTTCCTAAACTTTATCCTCTCCATGCCACATCTGTTAATCTGGGGGCTATTAGATCTCCTTTAGGACCAGAAGCTTTCTATGACGGCAGGAATATTACTGTTTAAGCACTTGGAATCAGAAAGGACCTGGGTCCTTGACCATCTCTTAGCTGAATGGTCTCAGGTAAGTTGCATAACGTCCCTGTGCCTCAGTTCCCTCATCTGTAGCACCTCTCAGGTTGTTGAGAGGAGATATGTGTGTACAGTGCCCAAACAAAGCCTGATGTTGAGTCAGTGGTTAGTGCTTATGGACTTTCCTCACAGTTTCTTCTCTACTCACCCCAGAATCCAGCAGCATGGCTCTGAGCCCAAAGTGCCTGTGCAGCCCTTCCTTCCTTGCCAAATCTCAATTTACAAAATATAAGAACAAGGTCCCTGATGTTTTTCCCAGGAGTCCTCAACATCTGTACTCTAGGCTCCCGAGAGACATAGTCTTTGGATTTAGCTTAGACCATTTCCCCTGGCTTCTTTGCCTCCAGCAAAATGATTCCTAAACCATCCCTCAAGGATACCCAGTCTTTGGAGTGTGTACACATGAAGAGCTCTTGGCTGGTTCTGTTCCAAGGATGAGTTGTGAAGGAGGAGGCTACTTGGCTGGGGATAAAGGGAAGAGGAGCCCATCTCACACACCAGGCTGTAGTCCAGGAGTGGTCAGGCTGCCCAGGTCAAGATCTTGAGCAACATATACTTTAACCCTCCAGAGCTTTCTCTACTCTCCAGATATACTTCTCTTCTAGGCAGGTGCCCAGCTTGCAGTCCCCTTTCCTTCCCTCCTAGAGCCTGTTACCTTATCTGGTTTCATTATTTCAGAGCACTTATACCTATGTGAAATTTTATAATTTCTTCTTAGATTTATTTTCAGTCTCGCTTCCACTAGAATTTAAGCTCCTTGAGGGCCAGGGATGTTGGCTATAATCCTTGCAACAATCCTTAATGGACAGATTCATTCATTTTCCTCCTCTCTCTCTCTCTCTCTCTCTCTCTTTCTCCCCCCTCTCCCTCTCCCTCTCCCCCCTCTCCCTCTCCCCCCTCTCCCTCTCCCCCTCCCCCTCCCCCTTCCCTCCTTTCCTCCCTCCCTCTCTCTCCCTCTTTAAATCAATGCACACACCGTGGTCACCCAGTTAATGAGTGGTAGAATGAGGATTCAAGGTCAGGCCTATCTAAGGATCTAAAGTTCACATTCTGTGCCTCCACACTCAAGGCAGAGCTCATTTCACCCAGCAAGATGAGGATATATAAGCTTTGAGCCACACAGTGTCCAGTAGTAGTAGTGATAATGATGTGTCAGGAGGCATTTATGGGAGCCTTAGGAATGTACTCTGACAATACTGCAGGAGGCAAAGTCAAATGGCCTGACTCTTGCTATCTCTGATCTCATGGACTCGTTAGATAGAGACATATATTCTCCATCTCTTCACTATGATACAGATAGTACTAAGACATACACAGGGGCACACAGTGTTTTGGGACATGTTTTAGTGTTTGAGCAGCTATAACAAAAAACTATAGACTAGGTGGCTTAAAAAACATGAATTTATTTTTCATAGATCTGGAGGCTAGAAGTCTAAGATCATGGCCCCAATCAATTCAATTCCTAGTGAGTGAATGCCCTCTTCCTGGTTTGTGGATGGCCACCTTCTTGCTTTATCCTTCCAAGGTCTACAGAGAGATTGTTTCCCTTAAGTGTCTTCTTCTTCTTTTTAAAATATTTTTTTAGTTGTCAACAGGCCTTTATTTTTTATTTATATATGCGGTGCTGAGAATCGAACCCAGTGCCTCACACATGCTAGGCAAGCGCCCTGCTCCTGGCCACAACCCCCGTCCTCAAGTGTCTTCCTATAAAGGCACTAATCACATCGTGAGGATTCTACCCTTATGACCTAATTCCCTCCCAAATGCCTTCCTAGTACCATCATATTGGGGATTCAACTTCAAATAAGAATTCTGAGTGGACACAATATTTAGCTCATAGCAAGCACTGGATAGTCAGAAGCCAGGGAAAGGAAAGGGGGATAGGAAGGCAAGGGATATTGTCAGGGAAGACACTTTGGGCAGAAAGAGGGCCTATCTGAAGACTGGTAAAGGGTCCAAATGGCTAGAGTCTTCAGTATACTGGAAAAGAGCAGTGAGGGAATAAAAGACGGTGAGAAAGTTGGTTGGGGCCAAATCATGGAAAGCCTAAAAGAAATTAGAAAAAGACTGGGTTTCCTAGAGCCTGCGTGATGGAGAATAATACCAACAGAATACAACAGAACAACTGATTGTGTATGTTAGGAACTGTACATTTTACAAAGTACTTCTGGTTCATTCATCCACTCTGAACTCTTCTTTATTTATTTACTTTTTTTCTTTTGCTGTACTGGGGATTGAACCCAGGGCACTTTACGGCTGAGCTACATTCCTGGCCTTTGACTTTTTATTTTGAGACATGTCTTGCTAAGTTGCTGAGGCCGGCCTCTAATTTGCCTCCTCCTGCCTCAGCATCCAAAGTAATAGTTCCTAACATGCAAGCAAGTTCAGTAAGAGCATGAGGTCCAATTTACAAGTTGTATAGATTTGAACAAGTCACTTCACATCTTCAAGGCTCACTTTCTTCATCTCTGGCAGCAGGATCCAATTCTCAGAGCTTTGGGAAAGATTTCACAAAACCAAACACATCGAAGGTGGTCTTTAACTTCTGGTCTTCAATTTTTTTCTCGGCAAAATTCCTGTCCGACCTAATTTAAGGGGGCTGTGGATGCGACTGTGTAAGGCAAAAACCTGAAGCAAGAATCTGGTCAACCAAACCGGTGAGCAGATTGTTCCCCGTTTGGCCGATGGGGCTAAAGAAGTTAGTATTTCTTGATTGTCTGAAAGCCTTAGAGAAAGGGCTTTGGATACTCTGTAACAGCATCTTTTAATACTGGCCACAGTGTTTTACTTATTTGGGACAGAGAAAGAGAGACACCTAGAAAGCAAACAACCGCATTCAAAAAGCTGAGGAGCTGGCGGCGCAAGCGCGTTAGCCGACCCGAGCCCTAGGGCCGCACCTTCTTTTTTCCCGCCCCCGCCCCTCAAAGGCACCAATCAGCAAGCGAGCCGCTGCGTGACGCCATCTTCCCGCGGCAAAGCGAGCTGCGGCGGCGCTTCCGGCTGATCGAGCCGAGGTACCGAGGTTATGGGCAGCCAGGAGGTGCTGGGCCAGGCGGCCCGACTGGCTTCCTCCGGTCTCCTCCTGCAGGTATTCTCTGTCGGGCTGGTCACAGCCCGTGCCAGCCAGCATTCGTGGGCAGACGGCCCTGGGGCAGACCCAGCCTCGAGGTGGAGCCCGTTTTGGAGTGGGGTCAGCTGGAGACAGGTTGCGGTGAGGTGGCATCTGGACAGGAGTTGGGAGCCCGCGTTAAGAATCTTGACAGAGCAGTTGCAAACAAACCATTTTTAAAAATAAGCATTGTATTTCCCATTTGGTAGTAGGAGAAAATTTAATCAAGTGCTGAGGGTGAGACATTTCATACTGGAGAAACCGATATTTTTAAGACAAGGGATTCATTCCTCTGTATCTCATCCCTGACCTTCAAACACTTTCTTTTAGCTTTCTGACTCCCACTGAATTTAGACCGTATGGTATAGCCAAGAACAGGGATGTGGGTTCAGGCAGGCCTAGAATGGGACATGTACATGCTAACCCAGGACAAGTGACTTCATCCTGAGCCTCAGTTCCTCATGGATAGAATGGGGACGATAATAATAGCTAGCTCATAAGGTAGTTTCAAGGATTGATTGGGATCATTTAATAAATGCATTTAACACAGTACCTGTATCTTAGAACCGTGCACCTAATAAATATTGGATGCATCTCTGTTCTGTGTGACTTTGGACAAATCACTCCCCCTTCTTGGCTCTAATTTTTCTCACTTGCCAGATATGATACATGTCAGTCATCCAAGTAGTATCTAAATATTCTTTCAATCCTAGGAACTAGTTATTCTAAGTGATTTAATTAATTTCTCTGTCTCACTTAACCATACTTCACCCAAGTCCTGAATCCACTCTCTCCATTATCTTAGAGAGGCAGATGGAGGTTAGGAGAAAGAACCGGGCTGACTTGGGCTCTGTTTTGGGTCTTGTCAGTTCTTAGATGCCTGCCCTTGAGAAAATTGCCTGACATTCTCTTGAGTATAGATTTGCTCTCCCCACCCCCATCTTTTTTTAAATGAACTTGGGACTGAGCTACTTAGGCCTCGATAGCCGTATTGAAATCATATGCAGCTATTCTTTTTGCAGTGCTAGGGATTGAACCCAGGGTCTTGTACATGTTAAGCAAGCACTATACCACTGAGCTGTACCTCCAGCTCCAGTTTTCTCATTTTAAATGAGAACAGTAATGTAACTTCACAGGCTCATTAAGAAGATTAGATGAAATCATGCCTGCTAAGTGCCAAGCACATTACAAGTACTTAATAAATGTTAGCTACTTTTATTGGGTTAATGTGTTTTAAATGGTCAGTGTAGGATTGAGATAAGAGAATTTCCATGAAGCATGTAGAAGAGTGCTTTGCGCATGATCTGTGCTTAATGTTAGCTTCTCTTCACCTCCATGTTTACCTAGTTGTTTGTTTTTCTATTTCACAGTAAAAATAACTGAGTTCAGCACTTCAAGACAATATTGATTTTTCCACCTTTGATTAAGCTTTACTACCCAGGTTGGATTTATAAGAAGAAAACAAGTTATAACAGGAAATTCTCCTATATTAGGAGTTAGGTGGCCTGCCTTTAGGGTCAGGCTGGTCCATTTACTTGCTGTGTGGCATGGGGCAAATCACTTCACTTTGAGTCTTACTTGCTTTTGTGCATTTACCTGGCTGTTTTAACAGGTCAAATAATTAGCAGATGTGAAAGAGCTTTTTTTGTGTGCAGTGCTGGGGATTGAACCCAGGGCATCTCACATGCTAGGCAGTTGCTGTACCACTGAGCCACACCCCATTCCCAAAGAGTGTTTTTTAAAACCATAATTTCCTTTATGCAAATAAATGGAGAGGGTTGTTAGTAAGGGCCACTGTACGGGGCATGTAGTGGGTAGCATGAGTGACCTCAGTTTCATTTGCTTAAATCTTGATCCAAACCAATTAGGAGATATGGATATGAACTGAAATCTTAAGTTTCTTGGACAGTAACTTTGAAGTTAATGTGTGTTTATATGTTTTTTTAAAAAAATAGTCATAATTTTAAGGTTTTTTTGTTTGTTTTTGTTTTTAGATACTAGGGTTTGAACTCAGGGCCTCACACCTGCTAAGCTAGTCCTGTACCAATGAGCTACATTCCCAGCCTTTTTTAGGTTTCTTGAGTGTTTTAATTGGGTCTTATATATCCTTTTTCAAATTACAGTGCAGACACATCAGGTAGCTTTGCAATTACATTTTATTATGCAAGTATTTGAGAGCTTATTCTCTCTTAACTCTGATCCCGACATTCATTAATGCCTTTCATTTGTATGTTTTTAAAAAATGCTTTCACCCCTATAATCTCATTTGATCCTTGCAATCAACCCTTTAAGATACATAGTCTCATTTGACAGAGGAGAAAATGAAGGCTTTTAAAAATTAGAAGTTGATGGCTTTAAGAGCCAAATGGTAAGTTGAGACTCTTGACTGAGTACTTTTTCTAGTAAGGGATCTGTGATTGGTTCCAAATCTCTCACATTAAGTATAAAATTTGGTGTGTATGTATATACCTGCATGTTTCTAAGAAAAGGCTAGAGAACTTTTCATCAAACTCTCAAAAGGTCACCTTTGACTCCATAAAGGTTAAGATGTTAATTTTGACATTGGAAACCTTTGCATTGTGTTAACACTTTGGGGACACTGTTACTGGCCTAGAGGTTTTCAGACTATATAGTATTTTGGCTTCCTTTGATTAAATCTTCCAAATTGCAGCTGTTCACAGGTAACCTTAAGAATGCTTAACAGAGAAGTGATTTGTCATTTGCTGCTGCTATGTGGGGTGGGGTAGGTACGTGGGGAGGCGGGGTGGCATCAGTTAGTGAGTACAGCTTGCATCCTATCCAGCATCTCCATTTGGCAGCCCCACTGAATGGCAGCCTCATTCTCTATGCCTCATGGGAAGAATTCTTTGTTTACATGGTTTTCTTGAATTGATAGGTTTGAAAGTCTCAGGATATGTGCCAAATGACAGTAGCTGGATTCTGTCTTCCCACCCCCATTTTATATTATTATTGCAGTTATTTTTTATTTTTATTTTTTGATACTGGGAACTGAATTAGGGCCTCGAGCTTGCTAGGCAACTGCTCCACTGCTGAGTTACATCCCTAGACCTTATTTATTTATTTAATTGAGACAGAGTCTTACTAAACTGCGCAGTCTGGCCTCAAACTTATGGTCCTCCTGCCACAACCTCTTGAGTAGTTGGGATTGAAGGTATAACAACTGCACCCAGCTGTAGTTGTTATTTAAAAGATATGTTGGCTCAGGGTTAAGGCTGTGTGGCTCAGTGGTAGAGTGCTTGCCTAGCATGTGTGAGGCACTGGGTTCGATTTTCAGCACCACATATTTAAAAATGAATAAAATAAAGGATCATACATCTAAAAAAAAATTAAAAAAAAAAGATATGTTGGTTCATTTGGTAGAGGGCTTGCCTAGCATGTGTGAAGCACTGGGTTCAATCCTCAGCACCACATAAAAATAAAATAAAGGTATTGTGTTCATCTACTAGAAGAAATATTTTTAATAAATAAATAAATAAAAGATGTCAGTTTCCTTTCTGGAAAGGGTCAAATATTTAGTAAAGAAATAAAAGTGTGTAGTGGCCAGGCATGGTGATGAATGCCTATAATCCCAGCACTCCAGAGGTGAGTTAGGAGGATTATAAATTCAAGGCCAGCCCTGGCAACTTAGATTGAATCTCAAAATAGAAAACATAAAAAGGCTGAGAATGAAACTCTTGTAGAGCACCTCTGGGTTCAGTCCCAATACTGCAAAATAAAAAATAGAAAAGAAGGAAAGAAATACAGTATCTTGAGAAAAGCAAATTTCAAAGAAATTAACTGACGTTATTGGAATCTCTGGATATTACCAGGCAAAGAAGAAAGAGACATTAGATAGACCTCATGATTCCTAGTGAGTCTGGTATACTCTCAGACTTTCAGTTGCTGAGTGTGTGCTATTTCTGAACAGTCTAGAGGGCCTGGGCTGAGGCCCAGTGTGAATCACTAACTACAATTCTTTTTGCCTCCTAGAGTGTTTGACTTTGAACCTAAAAAAATTTACTGAATCTATTGAGGACACCCTCTTTTCATCAGTAAATTAAGGAGACCTCCCAAGTGCTTTCCTGGCTGCTGCTGCTGTTTTGTTTTGGGTAGTGGGTACTGAACCCAACAAGGATGCTTTACCATTAAGCTACATCCCTAGTCCTATTTATTTCTTTGCGGGTTACGGGGGATTGAACTCAGGGGCACTTTTTTGTATTTTATTTAGAGATAAGGTCTTACTGAGTTGCTTAATGCCTCGCTTTTGCTAAGGCTGGCTTTGAACTTGTGATCTTCTTGCTTCAGCCTCTCGAGCCACAGGGATTACAGGCATGCACCACTGTGCCCAGCAACTTTTTATTTTTTAAATATATCTTATTTTATTTTTAGTTGCCGATGGGCCTTTATTTTATTTATTTATTTACATGTAAGTGCTTAGAATTGAACCCAGTGCCTCACACATAGTAGGCAAGTGCTTTACCACTGAGCCACAACCCCAGCCCTCCTTTTTACTTTTTGAGACAGGGTCTTGCAAAGTTGCTGAGGCTGAGTCAAACTAGCAATTCTCCTCTGCTTCAGCCTCCTTAGTTATTGGGAATACAAGTGTGTGCCACTGTGCCTGGTTTTCCTGGATTCCTTGACTATTGCACAGGATGTTGAGAGACTCCAAAGAATGAAATTTCAGAAGAAAGGCAGACAGACTGAGCTGTTTAAAGGAGAGTCTATGGCAAAGCTGTGGTGTGTCATTACATAACATTGGGAAAAACAATCATGTTGTCCTCATTTTGGCAAAGTAAACATTCCTAACATAGTTTATTCTGTCTTTTTCTTCTTTTTCTACAGGTGTTGTTTCGAGTGATTACCTTTGTCTTGAATGCATTTATTCTTCGCTTCCTGTCAAAGGAAATTGTTGGCGTAGTGAATGTAAGGTGAGAGGGAATGCACTCTGCACTGTCCACAGCTCGCATCCCTAGTCAAATATATTTCAAGCTGTACCCGTGTATGGTTTAAATTTTAGAAACATAGACCTTTATCAGAAGCACAGCTTTTTAGCAGTGGGCTGAGGAGGAGGTGCAGGGGTGGGGAAAGACAGGGCAATGCTACTTTTAATGGACCCATGGAGTGTTTTCCATTAGCAGCCTCCAAATGCACATTTCTCTGCCAGTTGTTCTGGTTTCCCTACTCTTAGAACCCAGGAGAAGAGTGGGAGTAATTTGTTACAAACCTTGTCTCAGGTGCAATACAGTGTTCTTGTCCTGCTGACAGCAAAGGAGGCAGGAATTCTCCAGTTCTGAGGATGTGCATGATAATGGCAGGGCTGGAGCCACCAACTTCCTTCCCTCCTTAGTGATTTTATAATTGGGATATATGGTAACTGGGGGGAGTCTGGGTCCTCATCATTAGGTTTTTAGAGACTCTGGGAAAACTGACTTGCTTTGTCTTTTAGACTCAGCTTATTTCTTCTACTCTCCTCTTTTCTGTTCAAGGACACCCACACATGTTTTATATTCACAAATGACACAAAAATATATGAAATGATGTGAGGGCTCAGAATAGCTCAGCTTCTCAGGTGTTTCTTCATGTCCTGATAAACAAGACAGTGTGTTCTAGACAGCATTTCATGTCTGGTACTTACTATACACATGGTCTTGGTTCTGTTCTTAGAGTCAAATGGCAATTCTCAATTTTTGATTGGCATAGGAATCATCTGGGAGCTTTCTACAAAGTAGGGCTGAGGAAGGGTGCTGGAATCTGTATTTTTACAAGTTGTCAGGTGCTTGTGAGGCAGAGACTATACTTTAAGAAATACTGTTTTGGGGCTGGGGTTGTGACTCAACAGTAGAGTGCTCGCCTGGTACGTGCGAGGCCCTGGGTTCGACCTCAGCACCACATGAAAATAAAGGTATAAACAAAAATACTTCAGGTAAAAAGAAAAAAAAAAGAAGAAGAAATACTGTTTTAAAGGCAGGAAAGACGAGGGCCAAATATTAGGTGCTCAGGATTTTTTCCCCATGCATCCTCCCCCAGATTGGCAGGTGCCTGCCTTGACAGCCCTTGTCTGGCCTGTCCCTCTGCTTTCAGCTGCTCTTTGCTAAAGTGCAAGAAGGCTTACCCAGCTGCTGCTCACCTGCAAGGTACCCGAACAAGACTGGCTGAGCTGGGTTTCAGTGGCTTCTTCTTTTTTTTTTTTTTTAATATTTTTTAGTTGTAGATGGACACGATACCTTTATTTATTTATCTTTATGTGGTGCTGAGGATCAAACCAGTGCCTCACCTGTGCTCTACCACTGAGCCACAACCCCAACCCCATGCAATGGCCTCTTAATGGTTGTAAGCCTTACGGCCTGTCTTGAGATTCCTTTGGCCACTACCTCACAGAGCAGAGCCTTGCTTTCCTCTTGAAGAGGCTATCAGGTCACTAGTCTCAGTGTGACCAAGAGGTTACTTTGCTGTGTGGGGTTAAAGGCTTATCCTTTTCTTTTTATGGTCAGGACTGTACCTCTGTCCATGGCCACAAAACCTGCAGCTTTTGGGGCCACCGCAACAGTTTCTATCCCAGACTATAGGCACACACATTCAGGTGTGCCTTATTGGTTCCCAACTCTTATTCAAGTGGATTGGAGTGGTGTGGCAGGGTGGGGTGGGGGTCCTGTAAGAGCTCACTGCCCTCCACCTTACTACCATGGTTTGTGACCAAGACCTTTTCTCCTACCTGTTGCTGAAGAAATCGCAGAAGTTGTCTGTGAAAAAAGTGGAGGCCTTATTGCTTTCTGCTTTTTCTTTACAGATTAACATTGCTTTACTCTACTACTACCTTCCTGGCCAGAGAGGCCTTCCGCAGAGCTTGTCTAAGTGGAAGTACCCAAAGGGATTGGAGCCAGACCCTCAACCTCCTGTGGCTAACGTAAGTTGTGCTTTGCCAGGAGATAAGTTTCAGGAAGGCAAGTGTAGTGAGTGTTGTACTTGAAGTTGGGTGTAGTGGTGCATAGCTGTATTCCCAGTGGCTGGGGAGGCTGAGGCAGGAGGATTGCAAGTTCAAGGTCAGCCTCAACAATTTAACAAAGTCCTAAGCAACTTAGTGAGACCTTGTCTCAAAATAAAAAATAAAAAGTGCTGGGGGATGTGGCTCAATGGTTAAGCACCTCACTCCCCAGTGCAAAAAAAAAAAAAAAAAAAGTGTGTAAAACAGCAATACTTGCCTGAAGCAGGTTGGGTTTTACAGTAGGGTTTGAGGGACTAGATATGAGACAGAAAGGGGAGAGTGTCTGTTTTGGAGTTGATTCTTGCTTTGTTTTCTCTTTGGTTGTTCAGGAGCAGGAGGAGGTTCTGGTGGGGGTTCCTGGTCCAGATTTTTAGCCCTGATATTATTAACTTTGGAGATTGTTTCTGTTGTTTCTTATCATCACTCTGGACTCCACTTAGCCTGTGACATCTTTTGCCCTATAGTATCTTTTGAGCTCTTAACAATCACTTAGTCTTACTATTTTTTTTTTGAAAGCCTTTTTAAGGAATTTTTTATATCTTTCTGCAATTTTGTTCTATGATTTTAGTTCTGAGTCTTTTAAAATATTCTCGAAGACCAAGTACATCAGCTAAAAAGTATAATGGCATTTCTGCAGCTAGATCCCCTCAGGGAAGACTGGTGGTTTCAGTTGTTTCCTAATGCTGCCCTTGCATAACTTCTTATTGCCTCACTGAAATTAATGACTGTCATAAGGGTTGATAGGCGTTCATTTTATTAGAGGAATGGCTGTCAATTTCCAGTCATATTTAAGTGCTCTGTGATACACATGTGAAAGGATACTGTGCAGTGGACTTTGGGTTATTTGGGGCTCAAAAACTGGTTGTATACTGCCAGTCATTCCAAGCATGGACAGCAAGCATCTTCTTTCTGGCAATTTTGCTTACCAAGTTCGTGTGACCCAGTGGATAAGAGTATAGGCTTTGGAGTTAAGTCAGTATTGAGTCCTGCTTTTGCTCTTGACTATTTATTCATGACCTTGGCCAAATTATTCATGACCCAGAGCTTGTCAGTCCAAGTTTCCTCATCTTCTAAATGGGGGTAATGACAGAGGATCATTGTGAGGTGTCAGTGAAATGAAGGGTTTGCATCATAGTGCCTATGTTCCTTACTAACAGATATTTATTGTGATGGCTCTTTTTATTATGACTACTTTATTCAATGTTATTATTTTAATATGTATTTATATTTATTTTAAATGTGAGTGTATCAAAATATGGTTTCTTTTCTTGCTCTTCTAGAGTCCCCCTGGGTGTGTTTTGGTCCTTATTCCTGGGCTGGGTCTGGTTGCAGTTGCTTGAAGTACCTGATCCTGATGTGGTCCCCCACTATGGAACTGGAGTGGTACTATTTGGTCTCTCAGCAGTGGTGGAACTTCTTGGAGAGCCCTTCTGGGTCTTGGCACAAGCACATATGTTTGTCAAACTTAAGGTCAGTGTGCCTTCTGCCAATGGGAAATGTGAAGAATAAGGAAAAGCATGGTTTATTAAAAAAGTTGTTTTTTTTTTTTTTAATAGAAACCAGACATGGCTCATGCCTCTAATCTCAGCAACTCAGAAAACTGAGGCAGGACATTGCAAATTCTAGGCAGCCTTAGCGATTTAGCAAGACCTCAGCAACTTAAGGAGACCCTGTGTCAAAAAATAAAAAGGACTGGAGCTGGGTGTGGTGACACATGCCCATAATCCCAGCGGCTTGGGAGGCTGAGGCAGGAAGATTGAGAGTTCAAAGCCAGCCTCAGCAACTTAGTGAGGTGCTAAGCAATTCAGCGAGACCCTGTCTCGAAGTAAAATACAAAAAAGGGCTGGTATGTGGCTCAGTAGTAAAGTATCCCTGGATTCAATCCTCAGTAGAGGGAAAAAAAAATGCTTTTATAGGAGAGAATAATTTTCCCAGACTTGGATCGAAAAAACTATTTGCAAAAAGGTAATGTGATCAGTTAATTCATTTACTTGAAACTTGTCAGATTGTCTGGGCTAAAGGTTACTTTTGCTATACGATAAATGAAAAGCAAATTTGCTAATAAAGAAGTTATTAGTTCAGTCAGAATTTAGGACTATAAAACATTTCATATTTTTCTAGTGATTCTATTAGTTGTATACTACTATTGACTTTTCATCTTTTAAAATATATCATTTGGGCTGGAGTTGTGGCTCAGTGACAGATCCATGTGTGTGACACTGGGTTAAGTCCTCAGCACCACATAAAAATAAATAAACAACAACAAAATATATATATATATAATTTAATATATCCAAAATGTATATATTCTGGGAGTGGTGGCTCATGCCTATAATACCAGCAACTTGGTGTGTTGAGTTAGGAGGATTACTAGTTTGAGGTCAGCCTTGGCAACTTAGTGAGATTCTGTCTCAAAAAAACAAAAATAAGGGGCTGGAGTTGTGGCTCAGTGGTAGAGCACTTGCCTCGCATGTGAGGCTGTGGGTTGGATCCTCAGCACCACATAAAACAAATAAAGAAATAAATAAAGGTATTATGTCCATCTACAACTAAAAATATTTTTTAAAATAAAATAAAATAAAAAGGATGGGAATAAATAGGATAGCATCAAATTAAAAAGCTTCAGCACAGCAAAGGAAACAAGAATGTAAAGAGAGAACCTACAGAATGGGAGAAAATTTTTGCTTGTTACTTTTCTGACAGGATTAACATCCAGAATATATAAAGAACTCAAAAAACAATACCAAAACCCAAATAGCCTATTTAGTAAATGGGCAAATGGAATTAATGGGCACTTCTCAAAAGAAATGGCTAACAAATATATGGAAAAAATGTTCAACATCTTTAGCAATTAGGGAAATGCAAATCAAAACTACACTGAAATTTTATCTCATTCCAGTCAGAGTGGCAGCCATTAAGAATGAAATTGTCAGGTTCGGTGGCGCACACCTGTAATCTCAGCGGCTTGAGAGGCTGAGGTAGGAGGATCACGAGTTCAAAGCCAGTCTCAGCAAAAAGCAAAGCACTAAGCAACTCAGTGAGACCCTGTCTCTAAAAAAATTACAAAACAGGGCTTGGGATGTGGCTCAGTGGTTGAGTGCCCCTGAATTCAATTCCTAGTATTCCACCCCCCCCCACACACACAAAAAGAATAAAATAATAATAAATGTGGAAGAGGATGTAGATAAAAAGGAATACTTTTATTTTTTAATTTTTATTTTTTGGGGTACCAGGGATTTAACTCAGGGTCACTCAGCCACTGAGCCATATCCCCAGCCTTTTTTTATATTTTATTTAGAGACAGGGTCTCACTGAGTTTTTTTTTTTTTTTTTAATATTTATTATTTTTAGGTGTAGATAGACACAACACAATGCCTTTATTTTTATGTGGTTCTGAGGATGGAACCTGGGTCCCACCCGTGCTAGGCCAGCACTCTACCACTGAGCCACAATCCCAGCCCTCGTGAGTTTTTTAATTGAAGCTTTTTAATTTGATGCCATTCTGTTTACTGGCTTTGAACATGTGAGTCTCCTGTCTCAGCCTCCCGAGCTACTGGGATAACTAGTGTGCCATGGCGCCCAACAGGAATACTTTTACACTGTTGGTGGAATTTTAAATTGGTACAATCATTATGGAAATCAGTATTGCTGTTTCTCAAAAGATTAGGAATGGAACCACCTATGATCCAGCTATACCACTTCTCAGAATGTATCCTGAAGAATTAAAGTCAGCATGCTATAGCAATACCTACATACCCATGTTTATAGCGGCACAGTTCACAATAGACAAACTATGGAACTAGCCTCATTGTCTATCAATAGATGAATGGGTAAAGAAAATATGATATGTAAACAATGGAGTTTTATTCAGCCAGAAAGAAGAATGAATTATGTCATTTGCAGGAAAATGAATGAACTTGAGAACATTGTTTTAAGTGAAATAAGCCAGACTCAGAAAGTCAAGGACTGTATGTTTTCTCTCCTATGTGAAAGCTAGAAAGAAAAAAGGAAAAGAAAGCTGTATTTGTGGGTGTCAGGAGGAGGGAAGAAGAAAGGGGAAGGGGAAATACTGGGGAATGATGTTGATAAAATTATATTGTCATGTCTGTGTATATAAGAATGTGTAACAACAGAAACCACCATATGTATTATTATAATACACCAATAAAAAATATGGAAAAAGAAAAAGGATGAGGATGTAGCTCAGTGTTAGAATGTCTCTAGGTTTAATCCTCAGTACAGAAAAAAAAAGTATAAATCTTACAGTATAACATGCAGATGGGGACAGTGGCACATGCCTGTAATCCCAGAGACTCAGGAGGCTGAGGCAGAAGGATCCAAAACTTGATTTTGCAAGGCCCTAAGCAACTTATTGAGACTTTATCTTAAAAAATAGAAAGTGCTAGGGGTGTGCTCAGTGATAAAGCACCTCTGGGTTCAATCCCCAGAGCCAAAACAAAAATATAACATGCTGAAGATTCTGTTTTTTTCTTTCTTCTTCTTTTTTTTTTTTTTAGTTGTAGTTGGACACAATACCTTTATTTATTTATTTTTATGTTGTGCTGAGGATTGAACCCAGGGTCTCCCACATGCTAGGCGAGTGCTCTACCACTGAGCCACAACCCCAGCTCCTGCTGAAGATTCTTGAACCTAACATCCAACCCAAGAAGTAAAATATTACCAGTGCTTATGTCCAACCATGCCCTACCCCTCCACCAGGGTAACCACTACTTTGGAGCTTCTGTTTGTCATCTCTTTGCATCTTTCCTTTTTGATCATGTCCATAAAGTGCACCTTTATCATGTGTCTGCAGGTGATTGCTGAGAGCCTGTCAGTAATCCTTAGGAGCATCCTGACAGCTTTTCTTGTACTGTGGTTGCCTCTCTGGGGATTGTACATTTTCTCTTTGGCCCAGGTAAGAGTCATGGCTATTAACTTTTTTTTTAATCTAATCTGAGTTTCTCTGCTTTTTCTTCTTGTTTGCACTACTATATGTTTCACATTTACAGTATTCATGCATGTAAGGAGGAATGTAAATGTCCGAAGTCTGGCCTTACCACAACTTCTCTGGCTGCCATGGTCGTCCTGTTCCATACACTGACACGGCTGATGTTTTTAGAGTCCTGGAGATGGCCACACACTTGGCCACCTTGTCAAGAATCAAAAACTCCTTTTAGACATTTTGTAGGCAGGCCCATATCAAACTGATCTTTGATTGTCTGAAAGTCTTATGGAGGAGAAAAAAACAGTAATGGGTGGGAATCGAATTGCATGTATTATTTTCCCTGGAGTTCAATCAGTTGTTTGCAGAATAGGAGGAAACTCTATCAAGCCTGTTTTAAATTTAGATTGAAATCTCATATAATTCAGAGAAAATGAATCAAGTCAGAGCAGGTACATTTTTCAGTTTTAGCAATTTTGATTTCATTTCCATTTCATCTTTTTCTAGTTCTAGTTCATATTTATGTTTCTAATAAAAATATAACTAGAGTACAGGCCCTATTTTAAAAATGAAACCTAAGATTAAATATATACCAGAATATAGTTTATATAAAGCAATGTATAGTTTTTATTAATGTATGGGAGACAAATTAAGATTCTTAGTAATCTATGTGAAATTCTTTCCTGTGTTTTAGGCAAATTTACATATAATTTTGTGGAACACTGAAGATCTAGATTTAAAATGAGTAAAATAAGAATGTACATTGCCTATAAAAGCAGTTTGCAGTTAGTTGCATATTTTGGAGAAGTTATCTGAGGTTATTTTTTTTGCCATTTATTGGGTCTAGAACTACATCACTTATCATTGTTTTTGTGCACTTTCTCTAGTAGGATAGGAAGATCATGGAGACACCCAATTATAGGTTGAGTTTTCTTGGAAGGCATTTGCATTATGAGTTTCTGGTTGTCATAGCTTTTACCCAGATCACATCATAGATTATAGTTCAGAGTCTGTGTGAGAGGTCTGAGAGCCAGTAAAACTTCATAACAGCAGGTGAGCACTGAATCCCCATTGTCAAACCTGGTTTCTCTTTATACTGGTTCTATGTCCCATGGCATCAGATGTCAAATAAAAGGGTTACATTAGGGAAAAAAAAAACACATTTTTGCAGGGAGGGTGTCCTGAGGATTGAACCCAGGGGAGTTTTACCATTGAGCTACATCCCCAGCCCCTTTTATTTTTTATTTTGAGCTAGAGTGTCACTGAGTTGCTTAGAGCCTTGCTAAGTTGCTGAGGCCAGCCTCAAACTTGTGATCCTCCTGCCTCAGCCTTCTGAGCGCTGCTGGTATAATAGGAATGTGACAAGGCTTAAGACAATAACGTGTATGTGTGTGTGTGTGTGTGTGTGTATCTGTGGTACTGAGGACTGAACCAAGAGCACTCTACCACTGAGCTACAGCCCCAGCCCTTTTAATTTTTTATTTTGAGACAGAGTGTCACTAAGTTGCTAGTCTCAGATCTTAACCTCCCGAGTGGCTCTAAACAACTTAGACACATCTGACATAATGAGTAACTCTTACAATTCAACAGTAAATAGAGAAACCACTCAATTAAAAAATGGGCAAGGCCTGATGGCCCAATTACTGTAATTCCAACTACTCTGGAAATTGGCTGAGGCAGGAGGATCGAAAATTCAAGATCAGCTTGGGCAACTTGGTGAGATCTTATTTCACAATAAAATTAAATGGACTGGGGATATAGCTCAGTGGTAGAGAGTACTAGCCTAGTATGTTTGAGACTCTGGGTTCAATTCCTAATACCACCAAAAAAAAAAAAAAAAGACAAAAAAATCCAACAACACAGTAGGTACCACTTCATTCCCATTAGGGTGACAATTTTTTTAAAAATAAATTTTTAAAAAACAGAAAATAACAAGTAATTGTTGAGCATGTGGAGAAAATGGAATCCTAGTACATTGCAGGTGGGCATGTGAAATGCTGTGGTTGCTATGAAAAAATAATATGTCAGTTCTTCAAAAAGATAAACAAGCTAGGCCTGGTGGTACATGCCTATAAACTCAATTACATTGGAAGCTGAGGCAGGAGAATCTAGTTCAAGGCCAGCCTTAGCAACTTAGTAAGACCCCTATTTCAAAATAAAATTAAAAAGAAAAGGGCTAGGGTTGTAGCTCAGTGATAGAGTGCTTGCCTACCATGCATGAAGCTGTAGGTTTAATCCCCAGTACCACACACAAAAAGTTAAAACAGAAATATCACATGATCCAGCAGTTCTACTCCTAAGTATATATACCTAAGAGAAATAAAAGCAAGCATTTAGGGTTGGGGTTGTGGCTCAGTGATAGAGTGTTTGCCTAGCAAGTGTGTGGCACTCAGGTTTGATTCTCACTACCACATAAAAAATAAATAAAATAAAGGTATTGTGTCCATCTACAGCTAAAAATTTAAAAAAAATTTTTTTTAAAGAAAATAAGTGTTTAATAAAAATTTATTCCCAAATGTTTATAATGATACCATTTGCAATAGCCAATAGGTAGAAAAAGCTCACATGTCTATCAACTAATGAATGAATGGATAAACAAAATATGTTATATTTATATGGTGGAATATTATTTAGCTATAAAAATGAAATACTGATATATAATACAACATAGATGAACTTTAAATATATTAAACTAAGTGAAAGAAGTCAGATACAATAAGGCCACCCATTGTATGCTTCCATTAACATGTAATATCCAGGATAGGAGAGTCTGTAGAGATTAGAGTAGATTAGTGCTACTGGGGAATGGGGGAGTGGGCAGTAGCTGCTTAATGGCTACAGAGATTCCTTTGCGGGTGATAAAAGTTTTCTGGAATTAGTGATGATGATTATACAACAGCATTTATGTATTGAAAGCCTCTGAATTGTGCACTTAATACAGTTAAAATGGTAAAATTTTTTATTATGTGAATCTTTCCTCAATAAAAAAGTGGAGGATGCCAGGTGCAGTGGTGCGGCCTATAATCTCAGTGGCTCCTGAGGCTGAGGCAGGAGGATTGTGAGTTCAAAGCCAGCAACTTAGGCCCTAAAAAACTCAACGAGACCCTATCTTTAAATAAGATACAAAAAAGGGATTGGGGATGTGGCTTGGTGGTTAAGCACCCTGGGTTCAATCCCTGGTATCCCCCCCCCCCCCCCAAAAAAAAAAAGGCTCTGGTCAGCTGGAAAGTGAGGAAAGGCAGAGAAGGGCACACTTATCACAGGGAGCTTTAAGATGGGGGAGTATGGCCATAGAAGTGCTTCTTGTCTTTTAAAGACTTGGGGGCTAAAGGAAGACTGGTAAATGGTGGTCTCTGCCCTCAGGAATGAAAGCATAGGAGCCCTAACCTGCTAAACTACTTGCCATGTGTCCTTTTATAGGAACAGCCTTGGTGTGGCCAGGTTGATTGCAGAGCCTGGAGGTCCCAGCCCTTGAGCACTGCCATTCTCAGGAGGGAAAGAGAATAGAAAGGAGCTTGTGAAAAGGGGCCCTTTTGGATACTCCTTTTCAACCTTCACACCAAAGCCTGGCTTCTGCTCCTGGCTAGAAGCCATTCTTTTGTCCTACATAGGTGGAGGGAGAGGTGGGTCTCTTATTGTCTCACCCTTTTCTCCCACAGCTCTTGCCCTACCCATGCATTGGGTGTAGAGGAGAGCGAGCCAAAAGCTCAGTTCTGCTTTGTAATCATAAATATCACGGATTTCCAGGTTTTATGGAAAATCCACAGTCCTAGAGGAAGGCAAGTTCCTGGCTGTCAGCACATTTTGGCACCTGGATCTTCCAAATACAGACCTTGTGAGAACTTACTTATCTGACATTATGGCATTTGAGCTAGTGTCTGCCTGTCTTAGAAATTTTGTTCTCCTGGTTAAGTGAAGTGTTTGGAACATTGGAGATGCTGCAGTGCAGCTGGACCTGAATGAGTGGTATTGTCTTCCAGAGGATGAGGCCTGCTCACTAGAAAGTGCAGTTAATTAAGACAGTTCTATTTTTTGATTGACCTTTGGGGCCAAAATTATAGTCATATCAGTTATGCCTATGTTAAAGCAGTTTAATTTCAACCCATTGTTTTCTTTTTTCAGCTTTTCTATACTTCCGTTCTGGTGCTCTGCTATGTTATTTATTTCACAAAGTTACTGAGTTCCCCAGAATCAACCAAGCAACACACTCTTCCTGTCTCCAGAATAACAGATCTGTTACCCGATTTTACCAGAAACAGGGTAAGTAATGTATTTTGTCTGATTATTTTAAATCACAGGTGATGGTTATCCTTGAGAGAAAGAAGCTGTAACTAGTTTGTTATAGTTGGAAATATTATTTATTCATTTATTTATTTATTTAGGTTCATACTGGGGCCTTAAGCATGCTAAGTAGGAACTCTACCGCTGAGCTACATCCCCAGTACCCCCTCCTTTTTGGGGGGAGTGTGGGTTAAACCTGGGGTCTTGAGCATACTAAGCAAGTGCTCTACCATTGAGTCACATCCCCAGAACCCCCAGCCCTCTTTTAAATTTTATTTTGAGACAGGGTCTTACTAAGTTGCCTAGGCTGGCCTTGAACTTGCAATCCTCCTGCCTCAGTCTCCCAAGTAACTAGGTTTATAGGCATGGGCCCATTAGAAAGATAATTTTTTTTTAATTTCATATTTTCTCTTTGTTATTAATAAAGTATCTTTTATTTTTTTAAAGAGAGAGAGAGAATTTTTTAATATTTATTTTTTAGTTTTTGGCGGACACAACATCTTTGTTTGTATGTGGTGCTAAGGATAGAACCCGAGCCGCACGCATGCCAGGTGAGCGCGCTACTGCTTGAGCCACATCCCCAGTCCAGAAAGATAATTTTACAGCTCATAATTATAGAGTACTTGCTATGTTCTAGGCCAATGTTTCCAGATCTTATTACTAGTGGCATTTTGGTCTGAACTTGTTGTAGGAACTGCTGTGTGCACTGTAGAATATATAACAGGATCACTTTATTTGCCTGGAGCTTCTGCCACTTCCTACTAGGTGCTTGTAGCAATAGCCTCCAGTGTAACACCCAGAAACTGCTCTGTCTTTTGGTTTTTCCTTGAATTGAAATGTCATACAAGTTCTAAGAAAGCTAGGTGATACCAATAGTTTCTTTATCTAGGTGTGAGCCCAGTCTTTCACATGATCAACCTTCCCATCTAGACCACTGAGGTCTGATACTTATCTGTGGAAGTGAAACATGATCTTTTTCTGCTCAACTCCTCTCTTGGTCCATTTGCCTTGTTTTCTGGCTGTGGTGGGGGCAGTGCTACTGTTCATTGCCCAGAGTTGCACATGAAATGGTCCACTGCACTGCCTCTGCTCAAGTGCTCTATAAACTGCTCTGTGCTGGGCATGTTTCCTTTTCCCCATACTTGTTTGCTTACTGGACGTAGTGTACTTTGTTGTGGTAAGTCACCCACTGGACTTTTTAGTCTTCTTTTGTGATTACTTGAAAAGTAGCCAAATATGTGGGACTTAAGTTTCAGAATTTATGGAATCCTGTTGTACAACTTTTCAGGGAAAACTAGATATTAAGTGTCAAAGTGACATATGTTTTTAGTTATTAGGAAAGCTTTCCATTCTGATTACTGATCTTAAGTCAACATGACAATTTTGGATACCACTGTGCCTCATCTGCAGGCTTAGATGGTTAGGACTCTGGATCATTTTTCTTGCATGGAGCGTCTGCCCCTGGCCCATAGAGCAGGTCTGAGCACAGAAGAGTTTCTTCTCTGAGTTCTCCCAGTGCCCAGCTTTACCAAGCCTGGCCAGCTTTTTATACTGGGCCAGCCCCTATGTCTCAGCATTATTTAGTAAAGGAGCATGTGAAACTGTTAATATAAACAAAAAGAGAAGGTAATAAAACAAGTCCGTCAAGTGTTTATTAACTATCATGGTCTTAGAACGCTGAACCTCAGTTTCTTTATCTGTCAAGTAGGGATAATAATAATCCTTCCCATCTAACATTATTTTGAGAGCCTGATGAAATGGGGGCATTTCAAAAGTGCTCAAGGCTGTGTCCTGGCATGAGTGGGTGACACTAAACGATAGTTTTGTCACTACCATTACACTACTGCTTTGAGAGCAGAGTTGGCTTTGACAGAGGACCCTAGCAAGCAAACACTGATGCCAGTGTTGGGATAAAAAGTCCCACCTCATGGAGCCTGATGTAGGGATCAAATGAAAGAAAACGAGACACTAAAAGCTTCCACCAGAAGCAATTAGATCAAGGCACTATTCAAAAACCTTTCATTAGGCTCTAATTCTCCTGAATTAAGCCCAAACTCGACAGCCCAAATCTGTTACATTCCTGCATCATTCTGTTGGAATTGAAAATTCAAAGATGACTGGTGTACTTAGGTGGCTGGACAGGGAGAAGAGAGAGAAAGAAAAGGTGAACAGAGATTATGAAGGGAGGTAAACCTGGCCTGCTGAGCTGGGTCAGGTAGTAGTGACCTCAGTGCTGTGATTTTCAGATGAGAGAATCAGGGCTTAGTAAAGTTAGTTATCTTCCCTGGCCTTTGGACTGTGTCAAGAACAGAAGCTTGAGCCCCATTCTCCAAGCTTGAGCCTGAAGTGTGAACCTACTATGAGAAGAGTGGGCTAGAGAAAAAGACGTGAAAAAGTTCAGTAGGAGCCTCCGTAATTGGCCAGGTGAGACACAATGAGAGCAGGGGGAGGGTGGTTGGAAATGGGAATGGACAGGCTGGGGCAGAGTCAACAGCTCTGGGATGACCTGGGCAAGTGGAGCAAGGGGTAAAGGAAACAATGCTGTGTGGGGCTGTAGTGGTGATGGAGGGCAAGGGCAGGAGTGTGGCCTCAGGCTCTCTGGTGACTCTTGTCAGTGCGAGAAGGATGTGGCTAATTGGATCATCCTAAGTCAGAGGAGTTTGGGAAGTGGAAGAGTGACTCAAGCTAAAGCTAGATGAGGTTCTTTTATTTTTTAAAAATATTTTTAGTTGTAGATGGACACAGTACCTTTATTTTATTTATTTATGTGGTGTTGAGGATTGAACCCAGTGCCTCACGTGTCCAAGGCAAACGCTGTACCATTGAGCTACAACCCCAGCCCTTTGGTGTTACTGCCCATCACCTTTCACTTTTCAAGACTCATTTTCCCCATCAATCAGGGAAGCTGTGGAATGGCTTAGATTTTAGAGAAATTCACTTCTATTTAGACCACATCAGCAGAACCAACTCAGCTTTGTGGAATAGGTCTTTTTTACCATCCCAAGTGAGAAATTCATTCTGAATAGAATGGTAGAAGTCCACAGAATTTCTCCCACTTAGTAGACACCCCCAAGTTGAACCCCCATCTCAGATTGGACTTAACTGCCAATGTATCCTTAATGAGCACTTTGTGGAAGTGGCAGTAAGCAGTGTGACTGTTCCTTCTGAACCACAGCCCATTTAAATTGAAGGCATTAGGAGAAAGGAATCAATGAGCATAAACTTTTCAGATTGGATTCCCTGTCATGATTTTACACTCCTAATGAACTTTTTCTTTGAAGAACTCATATTCCCAAAGCCATTCACAACCAACTGGCAAGAGGAGTTCACCAATGCCTCATGCATAAGCTGCAACTTTTTGTTTCTTTTGAAAAGAGCACAGGTACTGCTGTACAGACCCCTCAGAGGGCCATCCACCATTGCTTGGGCCAGGAAGTACTGTGAGGGAAATGGCGGTGCCAAGCCTCCCCGAGAGCTGGGCAGAAACAGCATTTGTAGATGAGTGGTCCATAGCACCCCCTAGTGGTGGTAACTTGTCAGGTGCCCTTTGTTCTTGGGGGAGGAGATGATGGCCTGTTTTAAACATCTTGTGGCCCATTTTCCTTCTCACCAGGGCATATTTACTCTGGGGCTTGAGCTTCCTGGCATCTGCTGTAGGTTTGGTGATGCCCTGAAGGCAGCACAATTCCAGAGGATTCAGACCTGTTTTCCCACTGTTTAGAAGGGAAGTTCAGGTGAGGAGAATGGGGGCTGAAACCACTTGCTTAAGAGATGCTGTAGATTTGCCCTGTCCTAAATGGTAGCCACCAGCCACATGTGGCTATTCAGCATTTTGGATCATGGCTGGTCTGAATTGGGATGAACTGTAAATGCAAGAAATATACTGGATTTTGAAGACTCAGTTTGAAAAAAATAATGTGAAATGACACACACATATAAATATATACATATATATTTATTTGATATTTAACATTGATTACATGTTGAAAGAATGATATTTTGGGTTAAATAAAATATGTTAAAATTAATTTCACCTGTTTCTTGTTCACATTCACTGAGACTGCTAGAAAACTGAACATTACATTTCAGCTGGATAGTATTGCTATACACAGATAAGCTTTGGGTCAAGAATAGGGGCCCATGTGACTGGGCAGGTTCCAGGAATGCTCTTGCATCCACTTCCACAGCTGAGGCTGACCTCTTGGAGAGATGACATGGGCTTGGCCTTTGTGATTCACCCCCTACCAAAGAGCCCTTTGAAATCCCACCATTTAAAAGTCATCACTTCAGATAATCAAAAATGTTCAAAATGCAGATATCCTAGGATTAAGAACCTACAATCTTGGGCTGGGGATGTGGTTCAAGCGGTAATATGCTCGCCTGGCATGCGCAGGGTGCTGGGTTCAATCCTCAGCACCACATAAAAATAATAAAGATGTTGTGTCTTCTGAAATCTGAAAAATAAATTAAAAAAAAAGAACCTACCATCTAGATTGAATTTCTGGGATTCCAAGATGCTTGTGTGATAGAGGAGGGGCCCCAGGGGAACTAGGGGAAATTAACTAGCCATCCCTCTATTCCATTTTATGGTTAACTCTCTGGCTTTAAAGCCACGTGTCACATACATTGACCTTTACTTTGAGTATTTGCTTCCTTCTTACCCTCTTTGTCCTTAGAAGATAGAGAGTTTGGTGCCTCCAGGAACTTCAAAAGAACAATATCAGAACTTTTGTTTTTTCCTTTCCTCTGTTATACTAATTTCAAGTGGTTTACTTGACCTTAGAAGGCTGAATTTCTTTTGAAATTACAAGCATATCTCATATGCTTGTGTAAAAGGACCCTAGGTGGCCTATTAGGATGTGGAGCAGAATTTATACTGTTGACTGGTGTACTTCAGATGTGTATATGCATGCGTGTGTTACTTGAACCCAGGGGTACTCTACCACTGAACTATATCCTCAGTTCTTTTTATCTTTTAGTACAGGGTTTCACTAAGGTGCCCAGGCTGGCCTTGAATTTGTGATCACTTTACCTCAGCCTACCAAGTCATTGAGGTTTCAGGCATGTCACCTAGACAGACTATTTTAAAGAAAGGAACTCACTCTAAGCTGTATGTGTTAGACGTGGTCAGTGTCCTGTCTGAGTTTCCAAGGGGATCATAGTGGTTCTTTAGAGGTCTTTGTGTATAAATGTTGGGTATGCTCTTTATAGACTTTCTCTTTGTATTTGATAATTGGGTTAGTCAGCTTTCTGTTTCAATAACAAATACCGGAGATAAGCAACTTATCAAGAGATAAGGTTTATTTTGGCTTATAGTTTTAGAAGTTTCAGGTCCATGATGTATTGGCCCAGTTGCTTTGGGCTTATGTCAAGGTAGAAGTGTGTGGCAGAATAAAACAGCTTACCTCATGGCCCAGAAGCTAGAGAAAGAGGAAGAGTCTAGAACCCCACAATTCCATTCATAAGTACACTGTCAATGACTTACTATGCTTCATCTCTGAGAGGTTCTACCACCACCCAAGAGTGCCATGCGGGGGTCCAAGCCTTTAACACATGGCCTTTGGGGTACATTCAAGATCCAAACTATAGCAGTAACATAAAGTCTTTTCTAGTATTTGTGGATGCCTTCTGTATGCTTAATGTTAAATAAGAATTCAGTGGGAACTATTCCAAGTTGGAGTTTAGGGACCAGATTGAGTTTGCCTCTCATGTAGCATTATATTCTAAGCCTTGAAATACCCAGGATTTTAACATTGTTTTGTTTTTGTTTTCTAGGATTTTGTAAATTGGAAAGAGGCTAAATTAACCTGGAGTTTTTTCAAACAGTCTTTCTTGAAACAGATTTTGACAGAAGGTAAGTACAAGGTTACTCTGAGCAGTCAGGAGATCATGGTAGAAATAGAGGGATTTCACAGAACTGTTGATCAAAACTACCTGTCTGGAGCCCCCTTGGCAGAGGACCCTCAGAATTTTTTTAAATTTTTTTAATGAGAGGGAAAACAACATTTATTTAGTTTTATGCTTTACTTAAGTTGCCTAATTTAAATCTCTCTACAGCCTCATTAAAGACATTTCCCCCTTTATTATGGATAAGGAAACTGAGTGTCAGTGAGGTTGTAGAATTTTTTTCAGGGTCCTACAGTAATGAGGAACAGTTTAATTGGAATCCAAGTCTGAGTTAGTCAGCTTTCCATTACTATGAAAAAATACCTAAGCTAATCAACTTAAAAGGAGAAAGGGTTTATTTTGGTTCACAGTTTAAGAGGTTTCATTCCATGGCCACTTGTCCCTGGTGCTTTGGGCCTGTGGTAACACAGTACATCATGGCAGGAGCCTGTGGCAGAGGAGGCTTGTTCATCTCATCACAGCAGGGAAGCAAAGAGAGAGACAATAGTGGTCTAAGGTTCCAGTATCTTCTTCAACAGTGTGCCATCACAACCTGACTTCTTCCCACTAAGCCCCACTCCCTAAAGGTCCCACTACCTCTCAGTCATGGGCTGAAGACCAAGCAGAGCCAAACTATCAAAGTCTAACTATAAAACCAGGTGGTATATCATTTTAATAGAGTTGTTATAAAAGTGTTATCAATTACAGAAAACTTTGGAGATAGGGGAAACTACCCATGAATTCATAATTCCAATTTTTTAATATATTTTTTCTTTCTTTTTTTTTCAATATTTTTAAGAACCAGGTTTTCATCGTTTTATTTTCTTACTCAAGATTGACCCATGTGATACTTTGGTCAGATATCTGACTTCTGACAGAACTCCTAATGCAGAGGCCCTGACAATGAGCTGAAAGCATAATATATGTGTTGATTTTTACTCAGCTTAAATTCAGAGAATGAAATTTGAGGTAGCTATAAGGAGCTGGAAAGTGGAGGGTTTTTTCCTACATACAGATTTGATGTCAATAGATCTGCATATCTGTTACTGAACATATTTTTTTATCTTTTCAAAATTATCCTTTTTTTTTTTTTTTTTTTTTTGGTGCCAGGGATTGAACCCAGGAGCACTTAATCATTGAGCCATATCCCCAGCCTGTTCTTTTTATTATTATTATTATTATTTTTTTAAATATTTATTTATTTTTTAGTTTTCGGTGGACACAACATCTTTGTTTGTATGTGGTGCTGAGGATCGAACCCGGGCCACACGCATGCCAGGCGAGCGCGCTACCGCTTGAGCCACATCCCCAGCCCATATTATTATTATTTGAAGACAAGGTCTTGTGCTAAGTTGCTGAGGGTCTTGCTGAGTTACTGAGGCTGGCTTTGAACTTGTGATCCTTCTGCCTCAGCCTCCCTAACCACTGGGATTACAGACATGCACCACCATACTCAGCTCAAAATGATCTTTTAGTTATAAAAGTAATATAATCCTATTACAAAAATTCTAAAAACCAGAAAATATAATCCTAGTATTCTAAAACAACTACTCTCACTATTATCTTGTTATTTTCTTCTCCCCATATTTGTGTTTTGTTAATTATGACTCCAAAGGGAAGTAATTTACTTCCCCCCAGGTCTCTTTTCCTATCTATGAGCTGAGAGAGGACCAAGAGGGGCCTAAGGGCCCTCTGAGCCTTGAGAGTGTATGCTTCCAGTCTGAGCTTATGACTGCTGGTACAAAAGTTAAACTATTCGGGGGATTTCTGGGTCAGAAACCTTGAGAGAGCTGGCTCCTAGAAAGCAGGGATTCTCCCTGCTGGGCCTGGCACACCACAGATGTTCAGCAAGTATTTGTTGATAGAGTAAGAAGAGTGGCAACAGAAGAGAACTGTAGCAAAATTGTGTGTTGTGGTAGTTCACATTGTGATTAGAACAGAAAAATTAATGGAGAAAGTTTTGGTAAGGATGTTGTTTGTACTTTTTTCTTCCCAAAGTTTTAAGAGCAGTTTTAATGAGTTTGAGGGAGTTGGATCCAGTCTACATGATGTTCTTCAATTCATTGTACAGATTGCAGTTGCTAGACATGTGTTTTGCAACATTTAATTAAGCCATTCACTAAAGCCTCCTGAGCTTGTCCTGAGCAAATCCAGGTACTTGCCCCACAGTTGGGCCATACTAATATGACTTCCTTTCTTGCAGAAGGCCATTAGGAACTTCTCAGGGCCTCCATCTCTATGGCTAGAAAATAAGGAAGTAGGCTGAATGACAACTTAGGTTTCTTTTATCTTTAAAAACTACAGCTCTGAGTCATGTTCAGTGGTGCACACCTGTATCCCAACAACTCTGGAGGCTGAGATAGGAAGATCATAAGTTTGAGACCAGCCTCAGTAACTTAGGGAAACCCTGTCTCAAATAGAAAATAAAAAGCATTGGGAATATAGGTGGTAAAGCTCCCCTGGGTTCAATCTCCAATATAAAAATAATAATAATAACAATAATAATAATAATTATGGCTCTAAAAAAAGTTAAAATAACTGTGTAGTAGCAAAAACGTATGTGCTCCTCCCTTCTGCCCCCACATTTCCTGCAGCACTGTATGCAAGGTGCTGAGACTAGAGATGAAGAGTAACAAACAGACCGTGACCTCAAGGAACTCATTCTCTCACCAGTTGCACATATCATGTGGTTAACCATTTCAAGACTGTGGGACTGTACTTGGAAATGTTAACTCAATCATTAGAAGTCTCTGGAGTGCCTCTCATTTCCTGGATCTCTGCTAGGAACTCAGAGACAGAGATAACTGAGAGGAGTCTTCTGCCCTCAGGAAGCTGGTAGAATATGAGGAGAGGCCTATGCTGCCAGAAGGTAGGGAAAAAGCCAGTCTGGGTTGTAAAAATGCCCTAGGTAGGCCCAGCCTGACTCTAAGCAGCAACTGGAGGCTAACCCCAGATAGGTAGGTGACAACAGAGGATGACAGTGTGATAGGGATGAGACTGGTGAAGAGAGGCCACAAAGATAGTGTGTAAAAGCCCTCATACACAGAATGAAGAAGTCCAGACTTTTTGCAAACACTAATGAGCCATTTGAAGCCATGTGAAAGCAGGGTACAGTTGTTCCTTGGTATCCTGAGAGATCGGTTCCAAGGTCTCTCCCTGCCAACAATGGATAAATCTAAAATCTGAGGATGTTCAAGTCTCTTATGTAAAATGGTGTAGTATTTGCATATAATCTAGATATATCCTTCGTCTACTTTAAATAATCTCTAGAATACTAATAATACCTAATGTAATATAAATGCTATGTAAATCATTGTTAAACTGTATTGTTTAGGGATTGATGATAAGAAAAGAAGATTTGTACATGTTCAGATGCAGTTTTTTTTTTCCCCCTGAAATGTTAACAGGGTAGATCAGAGATACAGACCTGGGAGGACCTTCAGAGGTCTTTGCTACATATACTTGTAAGGAGATAAGATCAGAGAGAGGAGAGTCTTGATAGAAGATGGAAATTTAACCTCTTAATTAATGCTTTCTTCTATGAGCATTTTCTAGGAGGTGAGAACTTGCCCTTTTAGGCTCTGGGCACTGTTTAGTGCTGTCTTTTTAAGAGTTAGTGCTTTTCACTTATGGATAAGAAAATTCATAGAATGGGACAGAGTTGCTCCAGGGTGGTGTCTTCATCTTGAAGGCATTGGGCTGCCTTAGATTTGAGGATGAACTGAGCTTCCAGAACCTCCAGGCCCTGGGGAGTGGGGGCGGGTCTCTCCACCTGAGAGGAAGTGGAATGAGCATGTGCCACTGTCATGGACATTTCCCTTCACAGATAATTTACACTGTGGTTATTTCACCCGCTTAAGACTTGGGACATACTGGGAATGTAGCTTAGTGGTAGAGTGCTTGCCTAGCTTGTATAATGCCTAGGGTTCTATTCTCAGCACTGCAAAAAACAAATAAACTTGTGACAGTTGTTTAGTAATTTCTCCATATTTTATTTTTAATTTATTAGATTGGTTTTATTGGTTAGTTTTTAATTTAGCTGGCTTGGAGATTTGCTGTTAATAAAGCCCTCAGCATTGTCCAAATTATGAGATTACTTGAAATTAGCATTAGGACAAGGAACATGTCTGTAACCGATTATCTGATTTTTCTTCTTTGAGGGTATTCGTCCACCTGAAAAGTTGATAAATGATAAGAGTAAAGGAAATTAATTTATGCATTGAAAATGCTAATTATTTTGCTTTTCCATTTATAGGCGAGAGATATGTGATGACATTTTTGAATGTTTTAAATTTTGGTGATCAAGGTAAGATGAAATTCTATAGTGTTTTAATTAAAGGTGAATACTATTAATAGATACTTCTTAATATCTTTCTTTGTGGTTTGACATATTTAGTGAAAAATGAATCTGAACACTATTATAAATGAATAAATGAATTTTTTAAAAAAATATTTATTTTTTAGTTGTAGTTGGACACAATACCTTTATTTTATTTACGTATTTTTATGTGGTGCTGAGGATTGAACCCAGGACCTCACACGTACTAGGCAAGCACTCTACCACTGAGCCACAACCCCAGCCCCTAGAAATGAATTCTTAAGATTATAAATTGTACATCTTTGTATAAACATATACAGTGTACTGACTATGCCCTCTTGTGTAACTTGAGTGGCAAGTTATTGTTGGGACCCTTTTGCCTTCTGCTTCCTCCTGAGCTCTGGTGCTCATTTTGGGGGTTGGAAGTGTGCTAGGAGAGAAGAAAAAGGGAATTCACTATCACAGTAATAAAGATCTGTCCTGGGTTTAAGTGGCTAAATAAGTCTTTCTCCGTTTTTTTTTTTTTTTTCTTTTCCATATTTATTTATACCAAAGAAATGAAAAAACAATTTAAAAAGCAACTTTACTTTTATTAAAAAGTGCTAGATAGAAGATCTTGTCGATTGTGTGAATGTCAGCATCTTGATTGATATCATATTATAGTTTTGCAAGATGTTACCATTTTGGGAAACTGGGTAATGGGTACATGGGCTCTCTAGATTATTTCTTTAACTACATGCAAAGCTAAAATTATCTCAAGATTTTTAAAAAGTTTAATTAAACATATTTACCGTTTTAATAATGTTGTGAAAGTTAAAATAGAAAAACAAATATGATTGTCATTTCTTTCTTTTTGTTTTGTAGGTGTATATGATATAGTGAATAATCTTGGGTCCCTTGTGGCCAGGTTAATTTTTCAGCCAATAGAGGAGAGTTTTTATATATTCTTTGCTAAGGTGCTGGAGAGGGAAAAGGATGCCACACTTCAGCGGCAGGTAATCTTGGTTCTCATGCCTATCATCTCTCAAATGAACTTCTATCTAATTGCTAGACAAACAGAAATGTGGAATGGTCGATTTCCCTTTTGTTTGATATGAAATGTTCTTCTAGTTTTCATTTTTCTATCACATTCTGGCAGATGGCAGCACCCAAGCTTATTTCTGTTTCCTGACCTTTACCCTCTCCTCCTGGCTGTCCCCTTTTGTCTTACCCCTTTGTCCCTTTGTATGACCTTACTTTTGACCCAGCCCTCCCTTTTTTTTTTTTTTTTTGGCTACTGGGGACTTAACCCAGGGGCACTTAATCACTGAGCCACATCTCCATCCCTTTTTATTTTTTTATTTTGAAACAAGGTCTCTCTAAGTTGCTGATGCTGGTTCAAACTTGCAGTCCTCCTGTCTCACAGGCGTACACTACCATTCCTGGCTTCAGAGTTCTTTATAGTTGTCCCCAGTGCAGCACAGAACACCCACCCATGGCTTAGTTTTAGGTATAAGAATAAGATAGTCTCTCCTATTCTCAGATTCTCAAGAACCAGAGGGCCAGGTGCAGTGGCACACACCTGTAATTCCAGCAACTTTGGAGGCTGAGGCAGGAGGATCACAAGCAACTTGAGGCCCTAAGCAACTTGGCAAGATCCTTCCTCAAAATAAAAAATAAATAAATAAAAAAAAGGGCTGGGGGTGTGGTTCCATGGTTAAACACACCTGAGTTCAATCCTTAGTACCAAAAAAAAAAACCCCCAAAAACCAGAGGATGCCAAGGTTGGAGCTGGGCTAACCTACAGCATAGGGAAGAAAATATGTGGTCACAGGGCTTCTCTCACCACACCAATTATGTAAGTTTTTTAAAGACTGTGTCTGACCAGGGCTACATTCTGACCCTAAAAATCTATGTACTCTGGTTGGTCAATACGAAGAGATTTTAATCCAGGAGCATTTGGTTATAGAAACTACTTTTTCTAAAATCATTGAAAATGTCTGACGTATCTTAGAATTCAAAGAAAACAAAATCCATCTCTTACATATGTAAGAAGGCATTTTACAAAGTATAGTTTATGCACACAGTATCTCAAGATGAGCTACTTTAGTTCTCAGTCTGGTTTAAGAATATGAACCCAAGTGTACATTGATAATAAATCAATATCTTGAGATATTTGTCAGGAGAAACATGAGCCGGCTGGCATAAATGAAAACTTACTCCATTTTAGAATAAAATATCAGGGCTGGGACTGTAGCTCAGTGGCAGAGTGTTTGCCTAGCACGTGTGAGGCCATTTTACATAAGGGACTTGAGCATCCTCAGACTTTAGATTTATCCATTGTTGGCAGGGAGAGACCTTGGAATCGGTCCCTCAGGACACCAAGTGACCTTAGCACCACATAAAAATAAATAAAGACATTCTGTCCATCTACAACTACAAAAAAAAAAAATCTTTTTAATCAGGGTAGAGTGAGTGGTTCATAAGTAATATTTAAAATGATTCATTCTAAATGAGTTATCCTTTAGGTACACACTATCCCCACTTTTTTTTTTTTTCCCTGATTGAAAAGAAATGTGCTACAGAAAAGCAGTGAGGTCTTATCTTAATTCATTTGGAAAAATGATCTGTAAAACAGTACAGGGGGAAGGTGAGATGTGAGGGTGTTCTTCAGTTCATGATTTATCCAGCTTTCTTCCCTTTCCCCCAACCCAGGAGGACTTTGCTGTGGCTGCTATGGTTTTGGAGTCCTTGCTCAAGCTGGCCCTGCTGGCTGGCCTGACCATCACTGTTTTTGGCTTTGCCTATTCTCAACTGGCTCTGGATATCTATGGAGGGGCCATGCTTAGCTCAGGATCAGGTATGTGCTAGAGTTTTGTCTAGTTTGTTTTAATTTCGAAACAGAAATAGAAGAGTCTCCTGAAGTTCAAAAATTTGCGCACACTCAGTCAACATCTGTGTTCCTGGAGAGTTGTGGGAAAGCTGGGCTTGTGGGACTGTTCTCTCACTGGAGTTGAGATGTGCATGCTCAGGGTGATCAGTTCCCCAGCCTCACCTGGAGAAGTTATGAATCTTCCTTACAGTTGGCTTTTCCTCGCAGGCCTAAAATGTGTTTTGCCAAGCACTTGCCTGTGCTCCCTTTGGGGCAAGGGAGGAGGGCAGAGAGCAGGCTTTAATGAATCTCCACTTGGTATTAAACACATCTGAAGATAGTAAATGCCACATAAATCCCAGGCCTGATGCATAAAAGCCTCGGAAGGACAACCCAGAGCAATTTGCAGAGAATAAAATTGATCTCAGCAAATAAAATGGTATATTTAATCCACTGACTCTTGGTGTTTGAAGGAGAAAACTATTGAATATGTCTGATGAAATACCTGGTGCCCAGGCTGCTGAGACTCTTATAGCACTTTCTGGTCCTTGGGAACTTCACCAGTTTCAAAATGTGCTGGGCTATAGGCTAGCAATAGTCCATTTGTAGAATTTCATTTTGGATTTAGCAAAGATGTTTTTAATTACTCAGGTCACTAGACAAGAACTTAGAAGATTTTTTTTCTGTTGCCCCATCTCAGTATAATTAAGGGCTTTGTCCAATGCCTTTTTACAAGTTCTTTCACTATTGTAGTTGCCACTATACTGGCGCTTAAACTTTTGGTATTGGGAAAAAATGGCCAAGTTTCTACACTAGAGCAAAGGTCATGAAGTTTGTAGGAACACCTGCTATGAAGCCAATGAAGTGGTTTGCAGCTCCCTGGGGCTTGTGTTGTGAGAAGTACATTTCCATCAGGCAACTGCAGGGAGGCCTCATTAGGAAGCCATTAGTAAGTTTATGTGCAGAGATTGGGGATCAACTGTTTCACAGCAGCTCTGCCCCTTTAGAAAGCAATCACTAAGGGACAGCCTTTTCTGTAACAGTCACAGGATGTTGCCAAGAAAGGCTGTCCCATCATTGTAATGTTCATCTGGTAAGGTAATTAATCACAGAAGAGATACACACAAACTACTATCATTGTGTTGTCCTTTTATTTAAGTGAGGTGCAGGTATGGTTTTGAGCGTCAATAATAGAGTTAGCAATTAAAAGGATCAGAGTTCTGAATCATTAATAATTTTAGACTCAAAAAGGTGTTCTCCAGTCTCATCTTCAGAGAGAGCAGTCCTGAGAACAGTTCTTGTTTCTCAGTGTCTTAAAAGCATTGTGGTTTGGTGTGTCACTGCAGGGTATTCAGGACCACTGGCCTCTCTTGCCTAGGCCAGGGTCCCAGCATAACTGCCCCAGCACAGTCTTTTAGCATTTATCTCTGAGTCTTTGGTGCCTCACACTTTTTTTGGGGGGAGGGCGGGTACCAGGGATTGAACTTGGACACTTGACCACTGAGCCACATCCCAAGCCCTATTTTATGTTTTATTTAGAGACAGGGTCTCATTGAGTTGCTTAGTGCCTTGCTTTTGCTGAGGTTGGCTTTGAACTCGTGATCCTTCTGCCTCAGCCCCCAGAGCTGCTGGGATTGCAGGTGTGTGCCACCGTGCCTGGTAGTGCCTCTCACTTTGATCATACTTCCACTCTCTGTAAAGCCCATGTGGCTTCTAGGTAGGGCAGTACTTTTCACAATGTGCCTGCTGACTGTCCCTATCTGTGCTGCCCCTCTTCTCCCTACCTGCTCCTGTCTCATCAGACTGTATCTCCTTAGGCCTTTACTGTACCAGAAAATATAACACTTTTGCTCTCTCCATTCTACCTCATATTCCCCACAACCCCACTTTTTTTTTTTTCAATAGTAGGGATTGAACCCAGGTGCATTCTACCACTGAATTACATCCCCAGCCTTTTTTATTTCTTATTTTGAATCAGTGTCTCTCTAAATTGCCCAGGCTGGCCTTAAATTTGCAATTCTCCTGCCTTAACCTTCCAAGTAGCTGGGATTACAGGCATGTACCACCATGCCCAGCTTCTTGATTTTTTAATTTTTTTTTCTTTGTGGCCTTATATTACTTTCCTGGGGCTTCATGACAAAGTACTACAGACTGAGTGGCTTTATTTAATTATTTTGTTGTGCTAGGGTTTGAATTTGTGTATGTTAGGCACGTGTTCTACCACTGAGCTACACTTTTAGTCCCTCTAGTGACTTTATTTTGTTTGTTTGTTTGGTACTAGGGATTGAACCACTGAGCCACATCTACAGCCCTTTTTTTTTTTTTTTTTCTAAATTTTTTTTTTTTTTTTTTGAGAGAGAGAGTTTTAATATTTATTTTTTAGTTTTTTCGGCGGACACAGCATCTTTGTTTGTATGTGGTGCTGTGGATCGAACCCAGGCCGCACGCATGCCAGGCGAGCACGCTACCGCTTGAACCACATCCCCAGCCCTCTACAGCCCTTTTTAATATTTTCTTTTGATAAAGGGTCTTGCTGAGTTGTTCAGGGCATCACTAAGTTGCTGAGGCTGGCTTTGAACTTGCCATCCTCCTGCCTCAGTCTCTTAGGCCACTGGGATTACAGGCATGTGCCACCACACCTGGCCCTTTAGTGACTTTAAATCGCAGAAATTACTGTATCATGCTCCTTTCTGAAGGCTAGAAGTCCAAAATCAAGGTGCCAGCAGGGTTTTGCTCTCTGATAGCACTAGGGGAAGGTCTTTTCTTGCCTCTTCTAGTTTCTGGTGTTTGTCCACAGTCCTGGGTATTCCTTGGCTTGTCCTTGTATCACTTAAGTCATGTGGCCATGTTCTCCCTATTTGTCTTCACATTTTCTTCCCTTTGTGTATATCTGTCTTTTGTCCACATTTCCCCTTTTTGTAAGGATACCAGTCATTGGGTTAGATCTCTTTTTAACTATATTAGCTCTATAAAGACCTGTTTCTAAATAAGATCATATTCTGAGGTGCTAGGAGTTAGAACTTCAGTGTGTCTTATTGGGCGTACGTAGTTCAACCCATAAGATCTCATTCAATTCACAGTTTAAGATTCCATCTTTGAAGTCCCCAAATTGTCTCAAAGCTTTCTCTCTTTAGTCACTGCTTCATGCCAGAGTTTGTATTCCTCATGCTTGTAGGCAGCTCACTGTCTATCCTCAGATGGGCCGATGTAAGCTGTTAGCATTCAGTTACCTGGTGAGAGTGACCCTGTTTCTTTCTGCTTTGACCAGAGAGAGGAGGAGGGGAGAAGCTTATTAGTGATAGAATTGCATTACTTTGTTTGAGAAGGAAATATCATTATTGGCTCTGGTTCTCACTGTGGATTGTGAATGTTCTATCTCAGTAGATCTTTTTCTAGGACCTGCCCAACTGAGATTCCCTTAATATTCAGGGCCACTTGTGTCTTGAACATTCAAACTAGCAGGCCTCCTTGTGCTGATTTTAAAATGAGCAGATTAGCTTGCTTTTGGTTGTTAGATCTATATATGTATTCAGATCTGTATATTTATTCATAACTACTCTTTTGTTTTTAACTGATTATTTTAGTAGTACCATGGAATGCTGGGAGTCCTCCAATATGTATGCATTCTGTCCACTGTTAACAGTAGGTCCCATGGCCCAGTTCTGGTGTTTTCTTAGCATTCAACCAAACTGTGGTAGTATGTAGTCCTATTTGGATCTAGAATCTTGGTGGGTTGTTTCCTTGTAGGTCCTGTTTTGCTGCGTACCTATTGTCTCTACGTCCTCCTGCTTGCCATCAATGGAGTAACTGAGTGTTTCACGTTTGCTGCCATGAGTAAAGAGGAAGTTGACAGGTGGGTAACCTAGAAGGTACACCCTTAATCATGACCTTTGGCCAAAATGAACTAACTTGCTAATCTTTTTTCATTCTGAACATGTGTTCACTGATGGCTTTCTCAGAGACAATACTAGACCACAAATATGCTGCATCCCCAGGATCTCTACAGCCTGGCATGATTTAGCTAGTACTCCCTATAGTAGGGTCAGGGGACAGCAAATTCTGTGTGCTTCCCTTTGTGGATGGAGAAATGTCATCCCTAAAGTGTCATGATTGTCTAGGTGTACAGAGTCAGGCATACAATAAGGTAGACTTCCATCTCTCCATCCTATTACCCAGCCCCCACTTAGTGGTCCTCAACTCTTGTCATCTATTGACTCTAGATCAGCAACCCTGTTCTGGAACTTCAGTCAGTGGGTCTCAACATTGGTTGTGTGTCAAAATCCTCTGTGGAACTTATTAGAAATGCATATTTCTATCTGCTATATTTGCACTACTCTTTTTCCCATCTTACCTGTAGGAACAGCAGGCCCTTGAGTGTGTGTGTGCATGTGTGCATGTATGTGTATGTCAATTATTCTGAGATGAACTCCTGGTTAAGTGCCTTTGGCCCACACCCAGAATCATTCACCTCTTCTGTCCTAAATACCAAAACCTAGCAAGGCAGTATCTTAATGCACCACTATAGGACAAGGTTAAGGAACAGCATAAAAGACAAGAGAGGAAAATAGAGAAGAGAATAGAAAAGGTTGGTGTAGATGGCGGGGTGAGTGGCTCTTGTTATTCAATCACCCCTTGAGGCTTGGATCTCTTGTGTGTTTTCATGCTGCCTCTGTAACCTTGAGTGCTATTGAGAACTCTTTGAGGCCAGGTCATAGAGGCAGGATGGGGAAGGGAGCTCAGAATCAGGAAACTTTTTCTTCTATTAGACTGGCTTCTGTCTGTTCTCATGTTGGGCTGCTTCAAATAGAAGCTATGGTGACTTTGTTTGCCACTAGTGGTCGAGAACTTGTCTAGACCAATGTCCCAACCTAGACCAATGAGATTCTCCTAGGAAATTCTGCTACCTCCCAGACCAATTGAATTAGAATTTGGGGAGGCTTGAACCAGGGAATCAATTCATTACGCAGTTCCAGGTGATTCTGATTCTAAGTGTGTGATAACTACCGGCCCAGGCCAGCTTTCACAGTAAACATACATTGAGCTCTGTGACCCAGTAGATACCTCGGTACTGAAGCCAGAATCCACAAAGCAGGAAGTATTCCAGTTATGCACAAGATACAGTGATGCTTTTTATTTCTTTCTTTTTTTTTTTTTTTTTAAAGAGAGAGAGAGAATTTTAATATTTATTTTTTAGTTATCGGCGGACACAACATCTTTGTTTGTATGTGGTGCTGAGGATCGAACCTGGGCCGCACGCACGCCAGGCGAGCGCGCTACCGCTTGAGCCACATCCCCAGCTCCGCTTTTTATTTCTTCTACTTCATTTTTCAAAATTATCATCTTATAACCTACTGAATTGATTTCTCAGCCTATTAATAGGTCACAACCCATAGTTTTATTTATTTATTTATTCATTTTGTAGTACTGGGAATTGAACCCAGGCTCTTGTGCATGCTAGGCAAGCACTCTGCTACTAAGCTACATCCCAAGACCTACCATAGTTTTAAAATAGTGGTCTAGACATGGTTTTCACCTCAAATAATTAGATTTGTAGCTATAGAATTGCTTTGAGTCCACTCTTCCCCCACCCCATGGATGAAAAAGTCTAAGTTTACCTTGAAAGTACCATTTTTTTTATTTGAAATGCTTCTCACAATTGAATCATTTAAAAATATAATTTGACACAGTAAGTATGGCTTTGTGACATCATAGAAAGAGCTTGGACTAGCAGTCTAGTACTTGAAGGGAATTTTATTGTAATAACTTTAGCATTAGTGTGTGTGGGGGTCAACACTGAATCCATTTAAAATGTAAAAAAAAAAAAAAAAAATTGCTGCTCAGCACAGTGGGCTCTCACCTGTAATCCAAGTGACTCAGGAGGCTGAGGCAGGAGGATCATAATTTCCAGGTCAGCGTTGGCAACCAAGTAAAACCCTTTCTCATAACAAAAAAATAAAGGTCTAGAATTGTAGCCCAATGGAGAGTGCCCCTGGGTTCAATTTTAATACCACAAATAAATAAAAAACCTTGCAACAAAACCAAGAGGAAATACAGTGGATGGTTGCTTTCTTTTCTTTTATGTTGCACTGAACCAAAGGAAACAACTCTTTAAGTTAGCTATAATGGAATGTTGACAATATTTCAACATCTGGAAAATTGTTTTCATGGTATTAGGAAGCAGAAAAATCAGAGGCCAGAGCACCTTCTAATGCAGTTCTTATCTGATATAACTTTGTTCCCCTTGGAGTAAAATATGACTTTAAGCATGGTCTTCAGACAGCACTCTCAGTTCTGTCTGGGTCCCTGTCCCCAGCCCTCTGCCCTTGACTGAGCATATGGAGCACCCAAGTTCATCATAGACCCTGTTTTTTTTTTTTTTTTTCATCCTTGTGAATTTTTTTTTTTTTTAATATTTTAATATTTATTTTCTCAGTTTTCGGCGGACACAACATCTTTGTTGGTATGTGGTGCTGAGGATCGACCCCTTGCCGCACGCATGCCAGGCGAGCGCGCTACCGCTTGAGCCACATCCCCAGCCCCATCCTTGTGAATTTAACCAAATAAAACTGTAGCTTGGATTTTTATAGTAGATTAATAGCTTAAATTAAATGTTACAATCGATTATAATGATTTTACATTGAACAATTTAGATTCAGAATTGAAAAAAGGCATTGATGCAGACGTGGATTTTTATCTAGTCAACTTCAGGTTAACCAGTGTTTTTCTAAATAAAAATAGAGTGGTTAGTTCTGAAATGTTAAGGCTTCCTTTGAATTGCAAGTTGCTCTTTATTTAATAGCCTAATATATAGGATCTGATTGATGGATTTTTCATTATACTGTACTGAAGAATTTTTGTTCTCTTTTGTGTAAGATGTCTCATTTTCTTTCTTGCATTCAACAAAAACTTTTGCGCATTTACTCTCTAACAAGCATTTTTTTAAGTTTTGGGAATACAGCATTGAAAAAAACAGCTAAGATCCCTGTTCTCCAGAGCTAATGAGAGGCAAACTAGTTAAGAAAGTAGAAAATGTACTGTTTTAAAAAGTAAAATAGGATTATGTAGTGAGTGGTGGGAGGCCATTAGATTGGCTAAGTTGAGGTCTGAATGACCAAACGATGGTCAGAGACAGGACAATGCTTTCTAGGCAGAGGAAGGCCCAAGATTGACAGCTCCTTTGCCTGATTTATTGATCTTAGAGTGCCCTTATATATAAACCACATAACTGTTGAATGAAAAATGACTGTGATCTTCTTGTGCTGATACATAAGAGGTCAGTGCTATCCTTTTTGTATCTACAGAGGCTCCATTTTACACATTTGTAATCCCAGCAACTAAGGAGGCTGAGGCAGGAGAATCACAAGTTCAAGGCCAGCCTCAACAAGTTAGCAAGACTCTGTCTCAAGATAAAAAATAAAAAGGACTGGGGATGAAGCTCCATGGTAGAGCATCTATGGATTAAATGCTGCCAAAAACAAACAAAATAAAATTCGTGTGGCTGTGATTTAATGTGTTCAGTTAGCAGCTACTAAGGGGTGCTTTGGTCAATACTACAGTCAATACCCTTGACCATCCATTTTCTGGTAAACCTGATTTTAAGTCCAGTATCTTCTCAGATCATGGAGAAATAAACATTCATAAATAAATTGCTATTTATGTTAACCAACCCTTATAAAATAGTCAATGTCAATGACGAATAATTTTGCTTTGATTTTAATAGTGCTGTTTTAATTGCATCTTTAAAGCTCTTTATTTTTTTTTATGAAGTGGATTATGTCTTTAAGGCTACAGATTTGTGACTTCTGAAAAGTTTAGCAGCTACAGAGCCTCTTGTAGTGGAAGACAGTGTGCCTTATCATTCTCAACTCCTCCCAGATGGTCATACCAAAGAGGCTACATAGTTGAATGCTTCTCAGCTTGAATTACTATGAATTAGCTATTGGTTTCATTTATTACTGCCATTTTACTTGGAGTTGTGTGAGGATGACTTTGAAAGTTTTTGAATCTATAGCTCAAACACCAAGGATTGGTGTAGAATACCCTTCTGAAATAGTTCTTGAAAAAAATAACAGATTATATGTCTGCTTCTTTTGGAAAAGAGGTCAAACTCCTGGTCTGTGATGGGTCCCACCTTCAGTGGCTTGTTATGAAATGACTATTCTGATTATTTATTAGTAGTAAAAAAAAAAAAAAAAAAAGCTTCCCTAGTGGAAGATGAGCACAATGGTACATACCTGTGATCCCAGCAACTCGGAGGCTGAGGCAGGAGGATCACAAGTTCAAGGCTAGCCTCAGCAATTTAGTAAGGCCCTGAGCAACTTAGTAAGACCCTATCTCAAAATTTAAAAAAATTGGAAGGCTGGATATGTAGCTTAGTGGTAAAGTACCTCTGGATTCCATCCCCAGTACCACCAGAAAATAAATAAAACCTTCCCCAGTGGAGGTGCAGGCTCTTGCACTTCTATTGCTCATTAAGAGATTTTCTCCTAAGCAGCAAATTTTGTTGCTGGAATTCTAGATGAAATCACCTTTCTAGTTAGAGTATAGTATATTGTGTGTGTGTGTGTGTGAGAGAGAGAGAGAGTGTGTGTGCATGTGTGAGCACACACGCATTTACCATGTGTTTTCATAAAGTATATTTCCATAGCACCTTGTATTTGGTCGGCCCAAGGACTTAAGTGGGCATTCAGGGAGCACAGTGGCTTTCTTACAATGCTTCATGTACAGAACCTGGATGGTCTCTTCAGAGTCCATCCAGTGGACACAGCTTGGGGACCTAAGGGTTTGGTTCCCTCAACAGTTGTGTATTTATGGAGTGTCTTCTCTGAGCTAGATGGAAACCAGATTCTGGGAAATTTGGTTCATGGCTATACCACAGTCTTTTGGAGGACTACAGCAGTTATTTTATGTTTGCTGAGACTTAGTTCCTTCCTTTGCAGAGAAGTGAGGATGACTAAGTGATGTGCTTCTTTGAAATCAGAAGTGATAGGAATAGCATACCTATTTAGCTCCAGAATCCAGAGAGCCTTAGAAATAGAGTGGAAAAGAGTATATAAGAGTCTGCAAATACCAGAGGGGATCCAGGCTTCGCTTCCTGCTCATATTTCATTCTGGAGGCTGGTCACTTGTTTTGAGTGCGGTCCACTACCCAAGTTTATGGGGTATTACATTTCCCAAGGGAGGCAGTGTGAAGCACTGAAGGTTGGGGGCTGGGAGTCAGACTGGCATATTGGCTTACTCCTTAGGCAAGTTCTTCGGTCTTTGTGCTTCTTATTTGTCTGTGAAACAAATCCAGGTTCCAGAGGACAAGGGCAGGCTATTTGCGTTCATTTATCAATGTGTCCTCACATTCCTCACAGGCTTGTCATAGCATCTAATATATAACTATTATCCAGGTCACATTCTTACACCTTGTGATGGGGGCTTGCGCTGAACAGGATTTTTATGCATTTTGATAACTAAGTTGCTTCATTAATCAACTATTATCCTTAAAACACATAAATATCTTGAATTATTCATTTTGTACTCTTCAGTTCAAGGGTGAACGGGACATTGACATTTCTATGTTATTTGTGTAGCATTCAATGTTATAGAAAACTGTATTATGGGAACTTAGCTGGACTTATGGGAAAGCAGAGGTTCTTTCTGTGAATTGTTGTTCATGGCCACTTTTTTATACAAATCTTATCTTGGGTCAAGGTACCCACTGCCCTGTTTTGCTTGTCTCCTTCTCCTCAGGTACAATTTCACAATGCTGGCACTGTCATCCTCATTCCTGGTGCTGTCCTATCTCCTGACCCGTTGGTGTGGCAGCGTGGGCTTCATCCTGGCCAACTGCTTTAACATGGGTATTCGGATCACACAGAGCCTTTGCTTCATCTATCGCTACTACCAAGAGAGCCCACACAGGCCCCTGGCTGGCCTGCACCTGTCGCCAGTCCTTCTTGGGGTATTTGCCCTCAGTGGTGGTATTACTGGTGTTTCAGAGGTGAGATCCCGCAGCCTCCACACCACATGCTTCTGTAGCTCTCCACTGGCCCCCCCTTAGGTTTCCCCTTCCCCCTGCTTGAACTGACTGGACAATTATTTACCTCCTCTTATCCTTTCCCTAGGCGTCTAGAGCATCACCTTTTGCTAGACATGACAAAAAAATTACAGTGGGAAGAGAGTAGACCCACAGCCCAGTTGACATACCTTTTATCTGATTTGGAAGCCAGAATAATAGCCACCTTTAGTCCACGGCCAACCAGGCCAGCACAGATGGTTTGAGCAGGAAAATCCTCAGGGAGTTTAATTTAAAGACACAGACACCATTTTATCTTTAAACCAGCTCCGAGACAGCTCCTCGAACCCTCAACCTCAAGCTCCCCAGGGAGGCATCGAGGTTTTACTGAAGAGGCTAGCAAGAGAGAGAGAGAGAGGAGAGAGAGAGAGAGAGAGAGAGAGAGAGAGAGAGAGAGAGAGAGAGAACGCTAGGGAGAGGGCTTTTGTTGGGGAACAAAGAATTCTGGGGAAATTCCCATCCAATAAAGGTCAGGCGGGCAATGTTGCAAGGTCAGGTGCAATGATTGGATCTTTGGGGCAGTGGTGAGACCGACCTCTACACAGTCAAGCTCTCGAACCTAAGAAGGGTGGGGAAAGCTCTGCCACATTAAAAGTGACTGAGCGCCTCACACCCAGCCGGGGAGGAAACTCATTCATGTGCAAGGATGGTCTCCCACAGCCACTTTCCCTGGCTTGTCCCAGAGGAAGGGGGTACAGACCCAGGAACCAGGCAGTGACAGTGCTTTCCTTTCCCAGGTGTTCCTGTGCTGTGATCAGGGCTGGCCCGCCAGGCTGGCACACATCACTGTGGGGGCCATTTGCTTAGGACTGACTCTTGGGACAGCATTCCTCACAGAAGCTAAGCTGATCCACTTTCTCAGGACTCAGTTTGGAGTATCCAAAGTTGCTGACAAAATGACTTGACTTCAAGAGCATCTTGGTACCTGTGGCACCTGGATCCACTTGGGACAGTTTTTGGGTGCAATGTTACCATGCAAAAGCCCTGCCAAGGGGTCTGCAGTGTAGTGAGAACCACCCAGGAGGTGAGACCATGGATGAAACACTCGTCCACTTGAAGTCTTAAATGCAAAGGAGGAATTTTCATTTTTAAGTGGAAACCAAACAGCCCTTTTAAAATAGATGTACTTTTTTCATTATTTTGTTCTAATCAGTACTTTTATTTTTATGAATATATTTATTCCTATTGAGTGTGATTGACCTTTGTAGCTACATGCTCCAGCAAACTTTATCTTAGATGTTAGTAGTGAATAATGATCTGGCCAAGAAAAAGAGAGGTAGCTGTTTATCCCTCACAGGAATATTTAGATTCTTCTGTAAAATAAGGAAAAAACCAGATGCTGTGCACCAAACAAGAACAGAGTGTGGCCTGGGAGTTGTGGCTTTCCACATGTCAACGCTGTGGTTGGAGTTTTTAGAGAAGGAAAAATGTTACTAAACAAAAAACCTCAAATGCAAATGTGAAGCTTTTGGGATCACATTTCCCTGTGTGCGTGAAGAAGAATCTTGCCTATCATGCTTTTATTCCCCAGGCTAGCTTGTGCCTTTCCCAGTGTGGGCCCTCAGGAATTGTTGAATGGAAGGAGGGTAGAAGTTAGTTGAAGACTTCAGGTCTGACCACCTGAAAGAGGGGGGCTTTGAAGGTTTGAAATTACTCCAGCATGAGCTACTTTTAGCAGTTTTCTGTAACTTTGCACATGGAAATTGATGACCAAAGTTGTGGAAATGTTTCTTTTTATCCTTAGAATAAAATAGGATAAACTCTATATGGCAAATATCACCAAGTCAAGCCCTTCTCACTGACCTGTTATTTCCAGCACTGCTCAGTACAACTGAATTCCAGCCCCAGGACAAGAGTGGTAGGCTTCGGGGAGTGAGCCTCCTGGCCACCACATGTTCCTTGTGCCCTGTATATGCAGGTGAGATGGTCAAGCATTGTTCTGGGGTTGTAAAGTGTTTTTCTTTTCTTTTTTTTTTTTTTTTAAATATTTATTTTTTAGTTGTAGTTGGATACAATATCTTTAATTAATTATTTTTATATGGTGCTGAGGATCCAGCCCAGAGCCTCACCCGTGCTAAGTGAACACTCTACCACTGAGCCACAACCCCAGCCCCAAGTGTTTTTCTGTTTTCATTAATGTATTAATTCCTTTTAGACATGATTTCTCTTTGGAAGTACATGCACAGACTATGTCTTCAATGTTAATAGTTAGTAATCCTCTGGCCTAATGTCTCCAGATCTTCCAAGTTTACCTCCAGAGAGAGGGCCAGTAAAAGCAGCTCGTATTATTCATTGAAATGCATGCATTTAAACCCACTTGCTTGGACTCAGTACGAAGAAGCTGAGGACCAAGACCCATCAGCCTACCAAGACTAGGGCCCAGTCACTTTGACACCTTTTTATCTGTTTCCCCTCTGAATTGAGACACCAAATGCAAGGTGTCTTAAGCAATAGAGGCCCTCCAAAAGCATGATCTTGGTAGGGTAGGATCAGGCTAAGTCAGAAAAAAGGGTTGTCTCAAGTGCACAGAAATGGGTCTTCCGTTCACAAAAGCTCCTTCTCTTCTTCTGATGACCATTCCACTGTCCCCTTCCCCAGAGTCCTGCCACCCACCATGCTCACTTGACAGACATAAAGCATAGTCTTCCACCCATGTGCCTCAGAGTGTTCTGGATTACAGGTTAGAAATGTAGGTTCCCAGACCTTGAGATGCTGAGGTCTTTGGGTATGGGACTACCATTCTCATGTGGAGAGAGGCTCTTTGTCTGACAGTAGGGTTCTTCCCCTCATCTCCTCCCACATTATCCACCAGGTGCTGCTGTTGGGACCTGCTCCTCTTGACAGATGGCCAGCTGGAACATGGGCCAGATTCCTTTTTATGTCCTGCTTCCCTGTTTCTAGGACAAGTAGTGCTGTGTGTGTTAGCTTTCTATCACTGCAACAAAATACCCAAGAAAATCAATTTAGAGGAGGAAAGATTTATTTTGGCTTATGGTTTCAGAAGTTTCAATCCATGGTTGACTGGCCCATTGCTATGGGCCTGTGAATCAGAGTATCATGGCAAAGAATTTGTGGTGCAGCAGAACTTCTCACCTCATGGCAGCCAGGAAGCAGGCGGGGGAACAAACCAGGGACAAAATATACCTTTCTAGAGCATGTCCCCAGTGACCTACTTCTTCCAACTAGGCACAGTTTCTACCACTTCCCAATATTCAGTTCAGTTATGAACCAATCAATGGGTTAATACATTGATGAGAGAGCCTTCATGATCCAATCAATTCCCAAAAGCCCACCTCTGAGCATTGCTGCAATGGGGATCAAGCCTTCAATAATGAGCCTTTGGGGAATATTCCAGATTCATACTATTATATCCTGGCTACCTGCTTCCCTGCTAGTACCTGCCTTGCAGGCTGTCAGTACTTTGGCCAAAGATCTCCACCCTCTTGACACTTCCCTGAAGCCCAGTGAACCTAACCATGATCTCTGGTGTTTTCCCTTACTGCCTGTCCCAGAACCGTACCTCTTGCCTCAGGTCACTTGCATATGTGTGGACCAGGCTGCCCCACTTCACCCATGAAGGATTTGGCAGGGGAATCACATTTGGCTTTAAGTACCATTTTAAATGTAGTGAGGCTACTTCTTCATGGAAACATGTCTGTAAGGCATGTCCTTTTTATGACGGGAAAAGCCTTCAGTGGTAAGAATAACACTATTGCTGGCTTCCTTTGCGTCTCTGACCACACGTAAGAGTTGCTCACTTCAGACTTGGCCTAGGGTGTCTCTGTAAGGGACACTGCTGTATTTTGTAATGCTCACTCCATAGTGACTCCTGGCTCTGCTCGGCCCTGTTTGATGCCGCTTCCCAACCTAATCCAAGTACAGGTCTGCTTTCCTTCCATCTTTTTTTTTTCTTTTAATCATGTACTTATGTTGCTGGTTTCATGTCAATCTCCTGGTTTAAAAAAGAATAAATTATTTTCTTCACATCCTTGTAAAGACCTTTCTTCTTTCATACCCTTCTTCCCTCCAGAATGGGGGGAAAATACCTAAGGAAGTGGGCAGATAATTTGAATGTGAACCATTAGATTTCGTCAGGGGATCGATCATCTCTCCCTACGCAGATAGTGACACTGGGACTTAGAATCCTGACCTTGGAAGAGGAATAGTTGTCTGGCGCCTTCTGTGTTGGGACTGAAAGACTAGGGGTCTCTTTCACTCTTCCCTCCTCACTCTAAGGTAGTGTTTCCCATTGCTTTCCTCTCCCCTCCATTTTCCGCCTCGCCTGGTCCTTGTCTTGTTTGTTGTTATTTATGAAGCAGCTATTCCTTGAAGGGTCAGGATGCATTTTGGTGCAGAGTAAAGCAGTCATGTGATTTTTGGAAGTTTGGGGCAGCCCCTTCCCCTTCCTGTCTTCAACTTGGTGATAGAATTTTTTTTTTCACTGAGCTCAAAGACTATCATTCCAGAATAGAGGATACTGGAAATTTGGATCCCATGGGGAAGGGCTCTGACTCATTCACACCAAGATGTACACTGACATCAGTGATTCTTACCTTGATATGGAGGAAGAAACAGGAGTTGGGAGCATCCAGAACTTGCAGGTGAAGTAGCCCAGGTGAGGGGGTGGGTAGCCCCAGAAGGTAAGAGCTCAAGAGGGGTGCCATAAGGTCCCTGGGCTGAGTGGAATTGATATCCAGTGGGGGAATTGGGGAACATGTTTCCAGCCAAGTCTTGGAAGAGCCATGAGTAAAAAAGGGCTGTGCCTGGTGTAAGAACTAGAGAAGAAAAAGAATAAGAGCAGGAGAAACCTTTCACATCTTTATGAACATCTGCTCTTTGGAGAGGCCAGGTGCAGAATGAGGAGGTGAAGTGAGGAGGGTGTGCAGGGTGCTTGTTGGGGAGGCTCTCAGAAGCTCCATCTTGAGAACCTTTAGGAACTACCCTACAGGCTCCAGAATATTGCTTGTACCAGATTATCATTAGCCCTGAGGGAGAGTTCAGGAAGGCAAACTAGAAGCCAGAAGATCTGCAGAATGTGTCAGAAGGGAACAGATTTGGAAAGCTGATGAACCAAGGCATAGTATGAGGGGTCCCCTAGAAACTTCTCAAAGATAGCAAAATACACAGAACTGGAAAGGGCAGCCGATCAAAGATGCTAAAATACAGCTTCCATTTGCCAATTATTCCTGAAGTATGCAGGAAGGGACTGAGACTCTCATTTAATTTGAAAATGAGACTTCTGAGCCAATACAGATACTAATGAAAAATTATTTGTTTTGCTGTTATTTACTATACTTTAGTGAATTAGCCGTTAATGTTGTAAATATTTTATTTGCTAATTAACTTTTGAGGGTAACAAAAAGGTGTTTTATTTGAAGAATTTGGGGAGAGGGAGGGCTCATGTATTTGTATTATCAGTCAGTCCCCAATTATCTTGCCATAACCAGTCTCCCTGTTTAGTATCATTTGTTTTTAACCAGAACTGTCTGTATGTTAGAACAAAATGGAGAGAATGGACTCCTAATGCATTTCAGCCTCCTTTAGGAACCTAATGAAGTTTTATAACTATTTCTTAATTTCCTTAAAGATGAACTAGCAGGAGTTGCTTGTTGCCCCATCCCAAAATGCACTCTATTCTTTGTCTACCACTTTTTCGGCCCTTTTTGGGAAGTTTGGCTTAAATGGAAAGTGTTAGAGGTTAAATGTCAGGCCTTTCCTTTTATGTGATAGGTCCTCAGCAGCAGAGTACGCACACCCAGAACTCTGTCCCAACCTCTGCAAGTTCCAGCACACTCACTTTTGGAGACATCTGCCCTCCTCCAGCTTGTCAACCTAAAAAAGTACACCATGTCCCACATTGAACATAACAAGTTTGTAAGTATACAAGAGTGTGGTTGCCTAACTGATGTGATGTTATGCTCTGTAGACATTTTCAAAATCCCCTTTGAAGCTTTGTATCTTGGAGCCAGCAAATTTTTGTTTCTGTCTTAGTCATGTCTGAAGTTCCTAAAGAGTTGAAGGGCCCTTGATCTTGCAACTGTGAGGCCTAATGAACAATGTGCTGGGAGAGAGAAGAGTAGGGGAGGAGCCTGAGAGGCCGCCTGGCAGCAAAACTGTCAGGGTCCCTCTCCTAGGCAG